CCCGAGCGGCCCTGTCCCAATTGCCCTGATCCCAGCTGCCCTGCCCCAGTTGCCCTGCCCCAACTGCCCTGTTCCCAGCTGCCCTGCCCCAATTGCCCTGATCCCAGCTGCCCTGCCCCAGCTGCCCTGCCCCAACTACCCTGCCCCAACTACCCTGTTCCCAGCTGCCCTGCCCCAGTTGCCTAGATACAGATAGCGTAAGCACATCCAGTAGCTAAAGCAGAGCACTGTAGACTGGACCATCTTTTTGTTGTTCAGTGCTGGCAACTGAAATCCGACCCCCTGAGCGATGCGCTCACATTCTAGCGGTCTCTATTTCGTAGTTTTCCTATCCTGTGCTGGGTCTTTGCGATGTGAGCACACCGCTCAGGGGTCGGATTTCAGTTGCCTGCACTGTACATGTCCCCTATAAACCCGTACTCCCCCCCCCCCCCCCCCATATAGTACCATTCCCCCTGCATGCAATAATTAGTACCATACACATTTGTAGCCCGTTTTCCCTCCTTCTGCCCCTGCACACAAGTCACCGTTACATTTGATCTAATTCCATCCCCTTTTAGTGTGCATAGCCGGGCCATGCAAATAATATATGCGCGCCAAATGATTGGGCGCACTCACGCAATGCACCGTACACATTTGCTGTCATAAAATTGCATGTATACCTAGCATTTCCCCGAATCTTGGTCACTCTCTCTCTCTCTCTTGGTCTTGAGCAGTCTCATCCTGCCTCAATCTAGTGGTAGTCTAATCTTCGTCCCACGCTCAGTCTTGTAGTTCCAGTCTTGTCTTTGTTCCGTCCTCTTCAATAATATAACGGAGTATCCCTCAATCCAACGAGAGAGCTTGGAAGCTCAGGGCCCTACGCTATGCTTTTTTGCCTAGCTCACCGGTCACGTGCTCCTGGGTGCCCAAATAACTTGGTCACCGTGCCAGCAGGCGACAACTTTCACACCAAGGTTCAACTCGAGTGACAGGACTGCATCCCAAAAAGGTCAAATAGGCTAGTAAGTTGTACGAGGCAGGCACGGTGACCAGGTGACTGGTGTACGCAGGAGCACGTGACCGCTTGTTCAACCCTGTTCGGTTGGGATTAAAGGAGAAACGCTGCATCGCAGCCTTTTCGGACCAAAACCAGTCGACTCAGCGCCCAAAAGATTACAACATATGGGCCAATCGCGGTCATCCGTGCTTTTATAAGAACGACCTGGCACTTTTAGTGACATTTTGCATACAAATTCCCATCTAGTAGGGCGCAGTCACCCAGTTTCGGTGGAAGTGCACGAGTTCGATTGGGAAAAAAGAGGGGAGGGAGCGTCTCAGCTTCTTCGGACCAAGACCATTCGACTCAGCACCCCGAAGACTACAACTGGTGAAAATTTGATTTTAGACTTAACTTCCCCTTTAAATGTTGCTGACGGCCGAATGCATAGTTGCCTGTGGAGCACATTGCATAACTTTACAGTCTCCTATAATACGCATACTGTCCGAAGGCAAAAGAGGCTGCAGATTTAGTTTTTCTGCGCGTTATCAGCAATGGCCTTCAGCAACTTGGGTCTCCTGTAATACGCATCCTGTCTATGCTTTCGTAATGCTAACATGATGCTCGGGATAGCACTCGCTACTGATCTTCGGAAACTTGGCCTGACTATCACTCACAATAAGACAAAGTAGTCGTTGGTTTCTCCCACAATTTCATCGTACTGTTGTGTGATGTGCTATACGACATCCTTATACCGTACAACCACAAAATTGATATCCTTAATCAATCTGGATTTCTTTCGCATCACAGTTTGTCTGGCTATTCAGTTTCCTCTTTACCAAATTGATGTGTAGCCGTTGAAAGTGCTGATACCTTTGGGTTAACTGAGGTCTCCGTTCGTCATGGATTTACCTGCTCGCGAGGAGGGCCTCACATTTCCACAGCTGCGAAGATTCTGTGAAGTATGTTACTATCATATTATGCTTCGTTCCACTCATCTCGCAGATCCAACGACTGTTTTGGCTCTAGACCGAAAAGAACCAAATGAGAGCAGACTTTGCTGGGGTGCCCCATTATTCGAGAGTGATGTTGAAGCGGTAACAATGTTTCTGTGGGATTTCGAAGGTAATCCGAGGCGGTTTGCCGAGCAGGACGCAAAGAAGCTGTACGTGCTCTTGTCAAGTTTTTCTTTCATTTCAAGTACTACGAAAAGTCTCTGCATCCCGAGCGTTCTACTCTCTGTTTAGTGCCATCAAGTATTGGTATGAACAGACCGCCAGTGTATGGCTTGTACAGCGTCCTGTACATTCTCAACAGGTGTGGCCTGATCCTCCTTCGTGTTACCAGGATCTCACTCAATTTGAACGTACGTATCGTATCCCAGCGAAAACAAATATCCATACAAAATGTCGTACAGATGCTTGTTGCTAATTGTGTTTGGGAACTTAACACCAGCCATTGTTCTCAGATGCCTTCGATGAAAGGTGTCGATCCCTCTGGTGGTAGCATCTGTGAGGCCCCATGTCGCACAGTTGTACAGCAGCACTGGCTTCACATAGGTATTGTACAGAGAAACTCTAAGCAGCAGTGAGGTGGATTGATGCTTGAAGAGTGCGTACAACGAACATTGTGATACGGTTACTACAAGAGAGATAGACAGTACAATTCAACATTGGCGCCCAGCTTTGGTTCTAAATAACCCACTCCCAAAGCTCTACCGACTACCTAATTACCTCACTAACGGTTTTCCTAATGAATATTCCTGGTTCTTTCCAATTCCCCGCACGAGTAACTTCGAAACGTTTGTGTATCGTTTTAGTCATAAGTGCTTCTGACTGCGGTTGTGTTCTTGTTCGTTTCCCTTTTGTGTTGATTGGAGTCCTTTTGTGGTGTTTCGGGTGCATCAAACTTATCAGCCTTACTATCTTGTGTAGAATACTTAGAGCGTAGTCAACAAACGTTTACTAAAACCTGTTTGGTCTTCTTATGGCCACTCAATCTACTTGGATCATGCCATGTCCTTTCTCAGGCAAGGAGAATGAGGATTCTGAAGCCTTCTTGCTAGATTTCGATAATGCTTGTGATGCAAATGGATGGGATGACACCACTGTACTGGCTCGGCCTGTTCGTCCAGCCCCGATTAGAACTCGAGGGGACTGAAACATCTTGCTCACCCTCTACGGTTGCACTGGCTCGGCTTGTCCATCCAGCCCCGATTAGAACTCGAGGGGAAACATCTGGCTCACCCGCTACGGTTGCACTGGCTCGGCTTGTCCATCCAGCCCCGATTAGAACTCGAGGGGAAACATCTGGCTCACCCGCTACGGTTGCACTGGTTCGGCCTGTCCATCCAGCCCCGATTAGAACTCGAGGGGAAACATCTGGCTCACTCTCTACGGTTGCACTGGCTCGGCCTGTCCATCCAGCCCCGATTAGAACTCGAGGGGAAACATCTGGCTCACCCTCTACGGTTGCACTGGCTCGGCCTGTCCATCCAGCCCCGATTAGAACTCGAGGGGAAACATCTGGCTTACCCTCTACGGTTGTTTTGGGCGATTTGGGTGCCATCTCCCATAACCCGTTTCTTGCTGATCAGGAGGTGAAGGATGAGGACGCTGCTCGTAAACTGCATTGTAAACTAATGTTACTAAAGAGGTCCCTTCGTGACAATGCTGCAAGTTTCTTACTAAGTTTAACAGTGGAAGAATGTGGGCAGTATGACATCCTTCGAAAGATCCTCACTAAGCGATACATGCCAGCAGAGGCCCAGTACGTTCGTAGAACCCAGCTACGTACCAAACACCGCCAACATGGGGAATCGTTGTCGACCTTAGCAGATGACATTCGTCTGTTGACAGCCAGGGCTTACCCCAGAGCAGGTGAACTGGAGAGAGATGACTATGCTATGGAGTCATGTATCCAGGCTTTAGGTGAGTCACTTCGTGCAAGGGTTAGGGATAGCCAACCTAAGACCATGCATGATGCACTTCGTAGGGGGTCTTTATTTGGAAGCCCATTCATTTGCTGATGCCTCTAATCTTTGGTCTAAATAAAAATAAATTCGACGGGTTCGCGTACCGGGCAGGTCAAGAACAAGGAGTCGTACAACTCCCTGGTCAAGAACCACCTTTCCGCTTCCGTGGGACGCCACCACACTAATTTTTGGTCTAGAGCAGTCTCATCCTGCCTCAATCTAGTGGTAGTCTAATCTTCGTCCCACGCTCAGTCTTGTCTTTGTTCCGTCCTCTTCAATAATATAACGGAGTATCCCTCAATCCAATAATACCATTTGGTGCCTTATGTCTGACTGGGACCGCCTAAGAATACGGGTACTATAAGAGAGATATAACAAGGCAGACAACATTTTATCTACTAGTTGAGGAAATGAAAAGGGGAAAAGTCTGAAGAAAAATTGACTGTCACCACCAGGACTCGAACAGCGACCTTCACTTGAGGATAGCGATGCTCTAACCAGTGAGCTATGGTGTAGCTGTCATCCTACAGCCCAATTCAAAAATATAGACGCATGGTATTTTGGAAATAATTATTTCAAATTTGCCTGGAGCTTCTTGAGAATTTTTTAAAAGAATATTGCTCAGGTCCTCCCCCCCCCCCCCCCCCCCCCCCACCCCCCAAATACTCTCATATCAATTTTTAAGCGATCAGATAACAAGTGCCCAATTTCGAAATTTTCGTGCACAAGGTGATCACAGAGTTTATGTGGTATAGATGCTTGCCTAACGTTTTTTTTAAAATCACGCATCTATATTTTTGAAAAAGCCATTGGCTCATTGCACGTCTGACTGTTCAAACCCTGGTTTAGTTGGTGGACAGTATAAACGCATGACTTGTGCCCCAACATTTTCCTTGTTTCCAAAAATAAATAAATCGACATTTCGGAATATTCATATACCGTAAAGAAGCGTTGATCCCCACGCCCCCCCCCCCCCCACGCCGTGTTGCTTCCCAGCTGGTTTTTCGGCACGAGGCGGGAATTAGTTCAAGTTCCTCAAGTGCATTATGATGTACTGCGAAGCAGAAGATCAAACCTGGCATGTTGGATTGTGCACATTTTCATCCTGCACCGGCACGTATTGGGTACAGCAGTACATGCGTCGGTTCAACATCGTATTTCGTAGCGTACGCCGACGTCGCTTCACCGGCAGAAACTCGACAGGGGTGGGAATTAGAGCGGGGGTGGATCAACGGTACTTTACAGCAGTAATAATCTTAAAGACTCTACAACGGCGTAACGTTGTGTGGCAATGTCTGCATCGACTGTACTCTTGATTGCTGTAATGAAACAAACGACAAAGAAACTGACCGGCGTCATACGGGAAGGCCGGGCGCACGACCTCGTTCACCCAGCTGGAGTCATCACACAGGTCCAGGGTGTCCACGCCAACGAACCAATCGGGACTCGGCGCAATCATGGACGTCACTGACACATACGGGCGGTACCTGTGCGGGGACACACGCACACACGCGCACAAACGCACGCACAACATGAATTAAAAATAGGGGTGAAACATTATACCGAATATTCGAGTGCTCAAAAGAGCGAAGAAAACACATGAGAACGAGTTTCAGTAAGCATTTTTTGCGATGCGACACGCGATGCGGCAGTCGCGAAACCGGGAAATCCCCAAATCGTAGCCATCTCGCAGCCTACACAACTGCCGCAACTGGGGCCAGGGCCATCGCAGTAGTTGAGCTTGGCTCAACTTTTGCGATGCGACAAGCGATTTGGCGTACGATTTTGACCTTTTCTACAGCAAAGTTGTGCAAAGGTTCAAGAGTTGCCAGTAAATATGTACAAGTTGTACCAAGCCACGTGAATACCATGGCGACGTATCCACCTGCATTGAACTTCGCGCCAAATCAGCAAGGCGTTGTCGCATCACCGACTTCTTCTGTGAATGGCAATTCGCGAGTTCGCATCGCACACCTCGTCGCAGATCGCGTCGCCCATCGCATCGCAAAAACGCTTCTGTGAATCCCGCTTTATGCAGCAACTATCCACGACTGTAACAAGATGATAAACAGTCAGAAAGTGTATAGCTTGTTCTCATTTGTTTTCTTCTTTTTTTTTTTACATTTACCGTAAAGTACCGCGAGAGCGCCCCGTCTCGAAAGAGCGCCCCATCTTGATTTTATAGCCAGGGAAAGGAAAATCGTATGGCAGAGTGCAACAAAGTGTGTATGGTGTGAGGACCTTAGTGTCCTAAGGTCACGCTTAGCATGTTTTGTGCGGGCCAATGTGTGTGTACAAGGTACGTGTCGTATGACCTTCAGACAGGACACCACCTCCACAGCACGACCACGAAAGGACGAGTTGGTGGGGCGCTCTGGCGGTACTTTACGATATTACTGGCTCAGTAACTGAGTTAAAATTCGAGTACTTGCTCGGTTCTTTCCAAAAAATCGAACATATCGTCAGGGGATTTTTGATAGCTGTTTACTAAGGGGCCATCCGTAAATACCGATATTTTTTTTCAAGACGATATACGTTAATTTCATATCTCCTCCGTCTCCCCTGAAAACGAACAACATACACATGTTTATACAGGGGATCGATATTTGTGAATGAAGTGCAATCTCCTCCTGAAACGTGACCAACAGCAACTCCAAATTCACCGTAGGCCTAGGTTTACATTGCGACGGTCGCAAAACCTTGGCCTGGCTCTAGTCACGAGGCCGACCTTCACTTTTTTTGCACGCCATCAACTACATGTTTGTTCTGTGCCGGTTCACATCTAGAGATCGATATTTTTTGTAACAAAGACGCGACGAACAGAAACCAAACCCCCTCCCCCCCCCCCCCAAACGAACGAATATTTTTTCTAAAAAATATTGATATTTGTGCACGACCCCTGCTGAGGTTTGTCTTGTAACCAAAGTCGCACTAATGAGGGTGGACCCGTGCATGAACATGTACTTCCGTCATAAAAAAATTTGCAATGGATTATGGTAGCAGCAAGAGTACATAACCCCCCAGAGTGTGCAACGCCTGATCCAGCTCTGCATAGGGTCTTGGTCGAGCGGAATCGGATCTTTGCGTCATAATACCGTACACATCTGAGGGGAACCCGGGGAGTCGCGGGTACTCTTGGATCAAAAACAATGGTGCCCTGCCTCGAGACCGGCCTTGCGCTGGTGTGAAGTGTACGCATGACATCAGAAGATCCGATTCCGCTCGACCAAGACCCTACACAGAGCTGGATCGGCGTTGCACACTCTGGGGGGTTATGTACTCTTGGTAGCAGCCATCTGTGTGTATACGGAGCAGCTGCAGAAGCAGCAGCAGAGCAACAGCAGCAGCAGCAGCAGCAGAAGCAGCAACAGCAGCAGCAGCAGCAACAGCAACAGCAGCAGCAACAGCAGCAGCAGCAGCAGCAACAACAGCAGCAGCAGCAGAGAAACCAACCTGTCAACTGTGAATGTGATAGCTGGAGCTGATCTTTGAACGCTCGGAGGAATACCGCTGATAGTGTCGAGCGTATCAGCTCCTGTTAAACACAGACACACACATGTGCGTACACACATACACACACACACACACACACGCACGCTCGCACGCACGCGTACACACACACACACACACATACAAACTCAAACACACACACACCAAAGATCAAGATACAAAAGCATGAGCATAAGCACGAGCAGCAACATAGCCATCAACATCATCACTACCGGTTTATATATCACTACCACTAACATACCACCATCATTTTAAGGCCACGCCGTTTTTTTCTATGTTTCGCGTCACCTTATCCGATGAAATCAATGAGGGCGAAAAAAATAAAAAAGCCATCCAAAAAAAAACAGTGTACGTGCATTGCATTTGTGTACAGTGAAGCGACGCGGCACTGTTCATGTACATGAATACATGAGTGTATAATTATTAGGGCTGAAACGATCGTGGATTTTCACCTATCGATTACTCTTTAGCTTAACGATCGAGTAATCGATTATAACCGTTACCAAATAGTGTCTGAATTCTGTGCAAAATTACTGTGTTTCCACAAGCTATGCCTTCATAGTACCAAAAAATCTGCATTAGTGAAAGGGTAGCTCCGAAACATGGCAGTTTGAAGTCAATTAAACCTCAGAACATGCACCATACCCCTGGCAACTGCACACTCACAGCGGAAATTGATTCAAACTTCACAAAAACGGGGTTTTCAGTACATTTTGGACTCAAAATCCCTCAACGAGTAATCTATAACGTAACGATTACTTGATTGCTAAGGAATTATCGATCGATTACCGAGTAATTGGTATAATCGTTTCAGCCCTAATAATTATGTATCCCCTCTGCCATGCTTGCTGTCCAAACACAGGCGGCATGATGATTGTGTGACTTGCAGCCCAGCTTATTACACACACATCATACAAAAATGTACATGTGAGCTGAGTACAATCATGCGAGTAACTACTCATGCGATAAATAGAACAAAATATTTAATTGATGCCAACATAATAGTTACGTGTAACAATCATGTTCGGTTTTTTTTCCTTTTGCCAGTTGTGGGTTACATTTTCCGGTTTTATGGGTTTGCATTAAATTTGTATTGCATTTTCAAAAAAAAAAATTTTGTTCTGTTTTTTTTTTTTTTTTTTTTTTTTTTAACTCCGGCTGTGAAATACATGCGCGCGGGGGACGCGAAACACAGATAAAAAACGGTGTGGCCTAATATCAACAGAGCAGAAACAACAACGACATCAACGCCAACGCCACCAGCACCACCAGCACCGCCACCACCACCACCGCCAGCAGCAGCTATAACACCATCAGCAACAGCAAAAACGAAAGTGACACCATGAGCAGCAGCAACAACACCATCACCGCCACCACCGCCACCAGCAACAACACCATCACCACCACCACCACCACCACCACCAGCAACAACACCATCACCACCACCATCACCACCACCGCCACCAGCAACAACACCATGAGCAGAGCAGAAACGAAAATGACGTCACTAGCAGCAGCAGCAACACCAGCAGCAGTAGCGGCAGCAGCACCAGCAGCAGCAGCAGCAGCAGTAGCGGCAGCAGCACCAGCAGCAGCAGCAGCAGCAGAAACGACATCACCACCACCGCCAGCAGCAGCAGCAGCAAAAGCGAAAAGGACATCACCGCCAGCAGCAACAACACCAATAGCACGATTCAGCTGCAGCAGAAACGACAATGACATCACTGCCAGAACTGAAAGAGCAGCACAACAACACCATCAGCAGCAGCAGAAACGACAATGACATCACCGCCAGCAACAACAACAACAACACCATCAGCAGAAGAGCAGTACACCACATCCACCAGCACCTACCCTGAGCAGTAAATTCACTTTTGAGGCTACCTGTTCTGCCAAGCTCTGCCATGGCCTCCATTCCGGTGCTGGCGTCTGTTCCGCGACGCCACATGACGTAGCAGGCACTGTGGCTAGTTCCAATTGGTGGAGACCAGTGGGCGAAGGTGGGTGGCGTCGGCAGAGTCCACTGCGATTCAAACGTCACCGTGTAGGTGGCTGTGCCCGTTGCACTGCAATTGCAAGCTGCATGACCACACACATGCATGCACACGCGACAACACATGCACACGCGCGCGCACACACACACACACACACACACACCTCAGACATCAGACCTGCCCGTCGAGCAAGCAATGATAGTGAACAGCTAGCTATGTTACACAACTTGTGCTGGGATGACAATCAAACAAAAGCTTGCAAGGTTGATGAATTGACTGCCGCTAATTTTAGCCTGGTCTACACCACACACACACACACACACACACACACACACACACACACACACACACACACACACACACGCACACATTATGCATGTTCGCATTCACACAGAGGTTGTATAAAAGCAAAGACGGATCGTCGGATACACGAATACCATCGAGCTCCTGATGGCGAGCATCGTGCCCCCCCCCCCGTTGCTGTCCCAAGTGCAGTGCGCAAACGGAAACATAATGCTATTCATGACGCACGTGCTGCCGCCTAGCTGAACACACAGCCCAATGTTGCAGGATTTGGCAATAATAAAAAAGCGGGCGTTTCCGTTGCGGTCTTCGCAGGCCGGGTGTGTACGATGCTTTGTGTTCGATATGGTCAGTTAGGATGGCTGTCTAACATTGGACAGGAGAGATACGAAAGCCACTTTATAATTATTTTATTTATTTATTTTACCTTCTTTGATAAAGATACGGTTGACTTACACGCGTTGTCACTTTGTCCCGCTCTTTCATTCTCTCTCTCTTTTTTTGCCTTTGAATATCGCATTACTATCCATGGCCACTTTGTTCCTGACGATGGTCATGTAGACCGAAATGTTAAGATAATCACTTCATGATGTGTGAACTGCAGTGCTTATTTGAGTGTGGGCAAGTGGCTATGAATGAATATTCTAATTTCAGAAATTGTAGGTGCTCAAAATGTCTGGCACGAGGGCAAAAGGCCCGGTTAGGTGAACAGAAGTTTTAGGTGCAGAGCAGCAGTTCCCTATTGGATTATGTGTGTTAAGCTGTGTTCACAACTGACACGTGTACGCGTGAAACCACGCGCTTGTGCGTATTTTTGCTGGCTTTTGGGGGCGCCATGCGTACGGAAACGCGCCGAAATGGAAATTCCAACATGTTGGAATTTTCAGCGCGTATCAGGCGCGTACCAGCGTACATCAAAAAATTAGTACTCGAAGGTGTCGCACGCGCTAAATACGACTCGGGTTGCTGTTTTTTTGTGAAAGCTTGAGCGCGTGTTTGGGCACGCATGAACCGCAAGCGTACCGCGTCCACGTGCCAGTTGGGAACACAGCTTTAGTGTTTGTTAGGTGTATTGGGTATGAAACAGACAGACGCACCGAAGGTACCGAAAATAAAAGTACACCGAATTTTTTTGAAATTACAGTAAATGAGAATAAAAATTGATACTGAAATTTAAAAAAAGAGAAGAAGGGGATATCAACATATCAGCATGTGGCCTTTACACCCAGGGTATACTCAACCAGGGTATACTCAACCAGGGTACACTCAACCAGGGTACACTCAACCAGGGAGTGGCAAGAGATCTGCGCTCAGTGCACAGTGGACTCTGTGTGCGAACATAGGAGTAGATAAATACCGGTATTTTACTACTCTTTTGTACGAACTGGGCCTTTCTTGCCACTCGTTTCTCGTACGCGTGCCCTAGCTTATGACAAATCCCTGGAGGCGAGTCCAAAAATCACGTTATCGAATAAGGTCTATAGACCTTATTCGATAACGTGATTTTTGGACTCGCCTCCAGGGATCTGTCGTAAGCTGGGGCACGCGTGCATGAAACGAGTGGCAAGAAAGGCTCAGTTCGTACAAGGGAGTAGTAAAATACCGGTATTTATCTACTCCTATGTTCCCACGCCGAGTCCACTTTGCACAGAGTGCAGGTCTCTTGCCACTCCCTGGTTCCCGGGACCCCGGTTCACGTGAGTGTGACGTTTATCGAATAAGGTCTATACTCAACCAGGGTATACTCAACCAGGGTATACTCAACCAGGGTATACTCAAACAGGGTATACGTTGAATCGCTCAAAACCAGTCAAAGTTCCAGGGCGCAGACTAGAGGATAGAGTGAATGGACTAGATTCATGCCAGCTGTCACAAGTGCCCAACCCCATTGGCCACATCCGTACTACATACCCATCATGTCAGGTCAAGAGTTCCCCATTGACTCTTGGAAACCCCTAAAATTCCAGGGACGAATATGTTTACAAACAACTACTGGGTAGTAAGAAGTGGATCTATCTAGCGTTTTCATGGTGTCCGTATATTAGCCGCGATTTTGTTTAGCAATCGAAGAATGCTGTTCTACAAAAGGCTGTACTCCACAATTCCAGAAAACTGATTCCCTAGTCCGTATCCGCAAATTTGCCATATTTGCGAAGTCTGCTAAGATCTGTCCCTTTGGAAAAACGCGGCCAAGAATTCAAAATTCCGCGGTAAATTCCGCGGGGAAAAGGGGGGTTTTCTGCGATATTTTCTGCGGTAAAATCAAAAATCTGCGGCACTTTCTGCAAGTTGTTCACCCTCCTCGTAGAGGATATGACAACTAGTCGCATGAAGGAGCACTTTTCATACTATCCTTTGCAGTCACAAACTGAATAAAAGTGAAGAATCTTGGAGAGACCTGCACTGGCAAGAGAAATGTGCTCAAACAGATCGCAAAGTAGTTTTTCTGCTGCTTTCTGAGAAGTAATTTTAGTAATTTACCCTAAAACATTCAGATTCCGCGGGCAAAAGTGTGGATTCCGTGATTTCCGCGGATGATGGCAACTTCTGCGAAATTTGCCGCGGCCACGGAATCGCGTTTTTCCAAGGGGACAGTAAGATGCCCGTGTCGCAATTTCGCTATTTGAAAACAATGGGCGTTTACTGTATTTTCAGGACACTTCTCACATAGAACCCGTTTTCTGGCAGCGGGACATGGCTCAACTACATGTACATATACATGACACAGGTTTGAGGCATTCAGATCTAGATAGGGATATCAGGGAATGCACTGCCCAGGCACTTTCAGTCAGAGTGATGCTGCCGTGAAGGGATGAAATCAGACTGCACAAAAGTGAAAGAGGAGCAGCCAGCCACAGGCAGAGGAGTGCGGCACTCAACTCAACGAACTAACTCCATTGTATTCCTGGGGAATTCCCCGCGCAAGTAATGGCAAACAATCAGAACTACTTGAACCACTTAACCGGCATAACAGTGGAACTGTGAAGAAAGTGGGAACTAACTGCTTCTTCCACTCCTGCACTCTGCTCTGCCTCACAAGGAATTGGAGCCTGGGGGAGGGGGGATTATCTCCAATTCCAATAAAACATCTCAATTAAACCTTCGTAATATGACGCTTCAGCTGATTCTGTTTATTGCCATCCTTAGGCCACACCGTTTTTTTATCTATGTTTCGCGTCCCCTGCGAGCATGTATTTCACAGTAGGAGTTTAAAAAAAGAACGTAAAGAAAAAAACGGAACATGATTGTTACACGGTAACTATTATGTTGGTATTTTGTTCTATTTATCGCATGATTGTACTCAGCTCACATACATGTACATGTACATGTACAAACAAGGCCGGTCTAGGCAGCTCAAGGTAGAGTGCTCAATGCACAAAGGTACAGAGCAGTATACACACACAACAGAGGCGAACGGCTATGTTAGCTGTAACTTTTAAAAGAGTTTCACGCATCACAGCGATCATCAGTGCATGCGTGTGTGTGTAATAAGCTGGGCCGCAAGTCACACAATCATCATGCCGCCCGTGTTCGGACCACACGCATGGCAGATCAGAGGGGATACACTCCTGTATGCATGTGTGAATTACTTCGAAGTAATAATGTTCAATGTACATGAACAGTGCCGGGTCTAAGCTTCACTGTACACAGATGCAATGCATGTACTAGTGCCTGGCTTTTTTTGTATTTTTTTCGCCCTCCCTCATTGATTTCATCGAATAAGGCGACGCAAAACATAGAAAAAAATGGCGTGGCCTTAAACTAAAACTAGTACTCAATAAAAAACTCGCATGTTGAGCCAATAGTAATACAGTTGAACATCGATTATCCGCACATCGACTATCCGACCATTCGATTATCCGTAACAGTTTTTTTGGGCGCACGCGCCGTAGAGTACGCACTGTGCATGTAGTGAGCCATTCAAAAAATACGAAAATTTTGAAAAGTAAAAAGTAAAAAGGTCGTGCGGCTAGTAATAACCACTGAAAGTGTGTGAGTGACAGTTTTTTTCTTATCTGGAACATTTGCCTTATCTGAACACCGCCTGACAGTTGTCTGCCCAGAGGTGGTCGGATAATCGATGTTCAGCTGTATGTAAAGAGAAAAGGGCCTATAAGTTACCACTGTCAGCCATTTATTAGTACATGTAACTTATAAAACTAGCACCCCCCCCCCCCCCCAACGAAAACCACTCAGCATATGGGAGTCATCAACTTGAGACGATGGCAGATTTCGTGAACGTCGGTGTTTGATGTATGACGTACAAAACGTACATATACGGAACACGTGATTCCAATTGCCGCAGTCGGAGACCCCATATGCAGAGTTGCACAGTCCTTAAACGTGCATCTACTCTTGCTACAAAGCAAGCAGGGTACTCCCACGCCCGTATAAGGCAGAGCTCTCCAGACAGTACAGAAAAAAGGCAGCTATGCTGCAGCGCAGAGTTTCACGATAATACTGGTATTCACCAGAGCTCATGCTTGTACAAATAACTGTTATTTTGAAACTAGTACGCAAACCCTTTCCACGCTTTGGTCCAGTGGATCGTGAGCACAGAATTCACGGCAAACTTCAGTCGTTCGTTTACACACGGCGGGCATAATCCCCACATTCTGAGCATCCTGGTCACCAGGGGATTTTAAAATCTGGGTCCAGAACGTGTCATCAAACACGTCCAATGTACTAGATAGGTGCTTCAACATGTTGGAAAAGGCCACGATAGCCAAATAAAATTGACTGCCATCGCTGGGTGGTAGAGTAGTTCACATACGCCATCCAGGCAGCAGAAATCTGTTGCCGGCAAGCGGCTTGGACGGCGCATGCGAATGATCGCCACGCACAGTGGCCATTGCCTGCCCCAGCCATGTGTTGCTTGGAATATAACTAAAAACGAATGCGCCGTCAGTGTATCGTACACAGCAAGCTGTCTTCCAAATTGTATCCATGAAGGCTACCTGCGCTCACTGGAGAAAAGAAAAACTTCCCGACGGAACGTGATGCAGTGCTGCCGCTGGGGGACAGCCTCGTGGCCTAGACCGTTCATATTTCCATGCACTGCAGTCTATGCACAGTTGAGTCACCGCGTGTTCCTTGGTATGCTGTGCTTGGTGGAATTCTAGGCTGGGTCGTACTGTACAGATGGCATGCGAATGAGGTCATCTCATACGCTTTGAATGGAGTGCACTACGTCATAGCATATGCGACATGTGCATCACTCATAATAGTGGACAGTTCAAAGCCATCAAAAACTCATTTTCGCCAAATATCACCTACGGGAAACCCTGGTTTTTGCTGCCCATGCCTCAAATTATTATTGGTCTATTCCATAAATTCAGGGCTGAAGTATCCCCCCCCCCCCCCCACACACACACACACACACGCACGCACACACGCACACACGCACGCACACACATAAACACGCAGCACCCACGCCGACAACTATTTCGGAACCGATTGCGGCAGATATGCACCATCCATGAACAAAACGCCCACGAGACCCTGCTGTCAAGCAGAAAGCCAATCACAAACTCAACACGGTCTTACCATGGAGAACATGGATGTTTGCAGCCGCCAGGATTGCTGCTAAGCAGAGGATGTCGGATAGTTTGGCCATCGTCGTCAGCCTCGAGAAGTCTAACTATTTCAAGTAATTAGTTTCGGAACAGGAAGACCGTGTCCGTGGCGTTGGAACTACAGACCAGCAAGATCTAGGTACGTGGGGCGCAGCGTGACAGAGCTACTTTTCGCTTGCGGTACTAAAAACCAGAGGTGTCAAAACGACAAAAGCTAAAATATTCATGTGCACCAGCGCTGCTGCAAGAAATACAAAAACAAAAATTTCGAATGCCATTTATACCGTATAATACGCACGCACGTATATGTCGCTACTCGTACTCCACCGGTCTACAGACTCTACGCTGTCTGAAGATCTCGTAGATTTATGTGGGACGACTGCATGCATGCATGCACCGATATGGCCGGGTGCGCGGTCAGTGCTACAACTCGAAGCTGCCTCGCTAGTACACACACATGAGCACGGGAAACACGTTCCAGTCACTGATGACACTCATTGCCGAAGTTGTGTTGCCATGGTGCAAAAATGGCGTTGGATGGCTACGCCTGAGCGCTCGCGCTGTCATCGCAGCCCACGACACGTCTTCCTGCTGTGCTTTCTTGACAAAATAATTATTTTGTTTCGCTTTGTCCTTGTTGCTGGAGGGTTTGATTCTTTGAGATACTGTAGAGCGATTTGGAGTTGGTCAGCCGAGAGTAGTCGTGAGAAATGGAGAAAGTATGTGAGAGAACCTGGACTGCGGATCAAGTCGCTCTGTTCCAGCGGAGGCGAGCAGAGGGTTACGATCTCAGTGCCCAGGCGCTAGGCACGTCGCTCCTGATTATTTCAAGGGGCTCGATGTGCAAGTGGCACTCGAAACCAGTGCTGCGCAGAGTGCCCATGTTCCTGCCAGTGTCGCTGCTTCAGCCGGGCTGGCGCTGGCGTCTCCAGTGCAAGCAGTATACCTAGTAGCTGAAACCACTCCTGAACCTGCTGTAAAACCCGCCGCTCAGGGCCAGTGCAAACAGCAGCTGATGCTGCTACTGAAAGGGCCACATATTCACTTCTGTCCAGCTCTGTCCTGCGCGCTCCCACCTCTTGTGGGGATATCATGCGCTTACGCATGCAAGGGCTGCGCCAACTTTGCAAAGACAGTATTCCCTACCAAGGGTGTGTATCCAGACGTGATCTTTACCTTCTCATCTGTGAACATTTCCACTTGAGTACTGCTGGCGAAGGAGTTCCAGACGAGGAGGCAGACAAGCCTGCATTACCAAAGCCAGTAATGGCAGCGTACAAGAAGCTACCAAGCTTTTCACACATAACATCTGGCTGGTCTCTATCTCGCCTAACTAAAATCCCTTTCTTCATTACTGAGGCTGTCAAGCACTATCTGTTAAATTCCCCGGAAAAAGATTATGACAAGGAGAGCTTGCAGTGCTACAAGCAACTTCGTGCGTACCAATTATTTGATGAGCACCACCTTCACCATTTGGAGGGAAACCTGTTTGCAGGTGGAACAAACTTTTGTTTCGTCCGTGCGAAATGCTGACCATCACAAGATACATCAAAGCAAGCCTACACGTGTATCGTCTGCATCAGCAGGGACGATCCAGTGTGCTAAGGTGGATACTGCCAGTGCATTTCCGGATAAGGAGAGTGCTGTTCACATGTACGGCTTTGCTGTTTGCGCAGGATGATTTTTGCAGCCATGGCATGCAGAGTTTGTCTGGACCTTCCGTAACAGACATGTTGTATGCATGCACGCTTGTGCTTCTGACTGTTTTTCTAGATCATGGCTTCTCTTCTGATCTTTCCTCGTCATGTCTGTTGACGTTTGTGAATTATATCATCTTGTATAAACACAGTACACTGTGAACGAAAGCAACATTTCATTCCACCTCACCTCTCAACCCCTCACAAACAACCTAAAACTCGTCATCGATTGCACTGATTTTTTAACGACTTTCTGGATCAATAATCATCATTTTTATGTCTTCAAACCAGAAATTGGTAGACATCAAAATGGTCTGTCATCATAGTAAAACATTGACTTTAACAAGACATTTCTGAATAATGAACTTCGGACTGATGTTAGATTATTACTGGAACAAATCATTTCTGAATGCACAGATTGAGCTAAGTGGAATACTTGGTTGGTTGATAGAACTTGTATTTCCGGTGGAATATATGTAACAATCTTTTTCACATTCACGCAGTATTTATTGGAACAAATTCATATTCTGTGATGATGATGGTCAGCCAGTGTCGGTGAAACGTCTAATGGCCATCGCTGAGGACCAGTGGCATACAAATGTCTAAGGGTAGATAGGCCGCGCCAAGTTTGCATCCTCTTGGCTTTGGGTTCGAGGTATTTGAACAGGGCAGAGAACACTGCGTAGTTAGGCAGCCCGGTGAAATGCCTGAACTTGTCAGGATTGTTTCTGATGCTGGCTAAATCGATCGAACGACACTTCAGGCTCTCGTACTCTTTTTTAATTATATTTCACTGAAGTCTTTTTTCTAGGCCAGCCATGTGATCATCAACTTCACTCGGGTCACTTACACTGATATATCTGTGATCACATGGCAAACCCTGCACAGGACCAGGGGTCGGTGCTGGGTCAATAGCCGAACAGACACCACAGAAACGACCCCGGCATCATCAATATCTTGTGGCTCCTCAGACTCTTGACGTTTTCTCTTCAGAACTCGTCTCGCTGGTTTAGGAGTTGCCGTCCACTGGAACTGGGTTGGCACAGCGGTGGGGTTGAGCCATTTTCTTTCTGGATCCTCACCAGACAGGAGCTTGCCGACGTAATCATCTTGTTTGAAATGAGAGCTGCATACTCTGGTGTTTGATGTGATCTTGAAATTTGATCCCACGTCCCTCCTAATTTCAAATTGCCATAACTTGCACCTTTCTGCATCACTGGGAAAACGATGAAATGCAAGTGACATAATCTAGAGACCGATTACTGCAGAGCGGAACAGCACAGTAGTAGCCCTTGCCTGAAGTTCTTTTCGGCTTCTTGGCAGGTTGGCTGTCAGTGCCAGATTCCACTGCGGCTGACCCCACGGACACTGAAGGCGAAGAAACAACACCAACACTAGCTGCAGCGACAGTTTGTTCGACTGGAACCGGTTCAGGAATGGTTTTAGCTACTGCTTGCGCTGGAGACGCCAGCGCCAGCCCGGCTAAAGCAGCGACACTGGCAGGAACATCGGTACTCTGCACAGTGCTGGTTTCGAGTGCCACTTGCACATCGAGCCACTCGAAATAATCAGGAGCGACGTGCCTGGGCACTGAGATCGTAACCCTCTGCTCGCCTCCGCTGGAACAGAGCGACTTTATCCGCAGTTCAGGTTCTCTCACGTTCTTTCTCCATTTCTCACGACTACTCTCGGCTGACCAACTCCAAATCGCTCTACAGTATCTCAAAGAATCAAACCCTCCAGCAACAAGGACAAAGCGAAACAAATAATTTTGTCAAGAAAGCACAGCAGGAAGACGTGTCGTGGGCTGCGATGACAGCGCGAGCGCTCAGGCGTAGCCATCCAACGCCATTTTTGCACCATGGCAACGCATCTTCGGCAATGAGTGTATACGCGGTCAGTACCGCTGTTCATCCATCCCTTGCCGCTATTGCGGCGCGGGCTGGATTCCGCGGTACTGCCCTCATACTCGTGCAGGAACCTGTACTTCCTATCATACCGTATTTCCGCAAATAAAAGGCCGTCCTCGTATACAACGCCTTCCTCGTATACAAGGCCGGGGCAGGGGGCGATTGAAAAAATAAAAGACCGTCTCCGATTAGAAGACCGGGCCTACTAAATGAGTCATTGTTCTTGTGTTAAAAATAGAAGACCGTGCTCAAACTGTGGGAAAAAATAGAATATCGTGCTCAAACTGTGTAGAAGGAAATGGAAGAACGGGGGTAAAACTGTGTGGCGAGAAATAGAAGACCGGAGGGTCAAACTGGGTTGAAAGAATAAAAGACCGTCCTCGAATACAAGACCGTCCTCGATTATAAGGCCGGGTTAGGACGAGGTTGAAAAAATAGTAGACCGGCCTACTATTTGTGGAAATACGGTACCCTGGTTTCTCATCATGTGTTGCTTTCGCCCGTAAAACGACTTGATTATGACGTAATGATTATGTACAATCATGCCGAAAATGGAGTCACACGTACACAATCATTCATAGACAGAATCATAGACTCATAGTGCATCACCATTGATGTACTGGTACAGTATCATGAATCATGATGCGTCAGCGAAAACCGCAGGCGAAAATACTGCCGCCAGCTGTGAGGAGATAACGGAAATGACTTCCGCTGTACTGACTGACTCTGTACTTGTAGCTAATAATAACACTATACTACTAGCGGCTGAACACATTTTCCTCGCATCATGTCGAACAACAGGGGATGTCATGAACTAAGATGAAGCAAATCGCCAAAATGGTTCCGAACCACAGATGGTCCCCAGACAAGACACACATGTACTCTGTTGCCCTCTCCTTGGCTAAAACGTCCTCCCTTGTACACTCTCCACTCTTTGTTGCCTACTCTGCTTGGCTTGCGCTGCCCGCTACTACGCGCACTGCCAGTGCCCTGGACGCATTTAAATCTGCTCAGTAGATTCACCATCACCTGTCCCTCCTTCTCCGTATTGACCATTACTCTTCTTCTTTAATTATTTTATTCACCATGGTTGGTTAATTAAGGGGGCAGCCTACCCATAAATTTCATATGGCATTCAATTGACCGTAACTTAGGTGTTTAACAATGGATTTGAGTGAAATTTTGACCACACACTCATGCCACTATGCTGGCCCTCAGGACATGATTTACAGGTTCTTGCGCCTCACTGACAGGCTTTCCAGGCCGGAAAAACTCAAATTTCCGGCATAGTGCCACGGTGTGCGAGCCACCCAGGAGCCAAACAAATGCATTTACAGTTTTTTCACATTTTCGTGCCCATTCTGTCCGTGCGCGGGACCCAAACCAAAAACAAGTCCAGAAGCAGCCATGGGTGGTGGGGTAGGGCCCCTCAACGTGGCCCTGCAATCTGTCACAACGGAACGAGTGGGCGTTCTCTCACAGACTCCCACAGACCCAAGTCAATTTTTGATTTTTTTTAGGTTTAGCACGTGCTATGAGGTCGTACCTTTGATACAACATCCAGTGCTGGGACCTCCACAGCAAGCCATTTCCACAGCGCTGCACACCAAATCCAGGATACCCTCAGAAACCGGCAAAGATTACCGCTCACGTTCCGCTACTGCCTAGTATTGAATCCTACCTGACTTCTTGACACGACTCAAACTTGCCAAAGTCACTAAATCAACGTCAACTACAATAATCAAGCCACATATCTGCAACATCACGAGGGTGCAGCCCAATACGTGGCTCAAAAACGTGATTTTTGGACTTCACAAGTTGCGCACGGTCTGCTCACATTCAAATACAGTGCTGCCAACAAATGACAGCGTGCAACAAAAAAATCTTTCCTTGCAAGGGCACATTTTAGGCCATAACTCTTGAACGGCTGGTCAGATCGGGACACAATTTTCAGAGAATTTGCAGCTATAGGGCTTGAAAGTGATGACGTCAAAAACGGCCTAGGAGTAGTAAATTGACATCAGATTTCTATTTTGGATCCACTAAGGTGCGACTTTGCTATTGCCTCAGAATGTGGGTGCATAGCAACCCACTCATGTCGTATGCAGGTGCAACTTTTACTTCGCCACCAGTTGTCACCCCGCCCCCACTAGCCAAATCAGTCAGTTTCACTGGCAACATCACCTTGCTGTGAGTGAGACCGCTTGAAATGTGCTTGGATCCATACAAAAACTGGATCCAGGTGGATCCAGTTTTCGAATTTTTCAAATTGTTGCTATGCCATTGCTATGGAGTGACGTAGCACTTTCAAGCCCTATTCAAGCTCTTTCAACTGACGTAGCACGCAATATGAATTTACAAATTCGATTTTCAGCGAATTTTGGGTAGTCTGCCACCTTAAATTTCTTGACTTCGTTCGCTAGCCGCATCCTTGCTCCGATGATGTCATTGATTTCTTCCAGGAGAGATTGGTTGGTACGCCGGTCGTGGTATGTTACTCCTAAGAGGCGGCGGAAGCATTTCATCTGAGTACGGGGTAAAAATAGCCGAGGTCTTTTACGAGACTTCTTTTTCCTATACTGACCAAGTACGAAGTCGATATTAGATTTATCACGACAAACAGACTTGAAACAGCCGGTATTTCAAAATCCAGAACGATTAACGTTACCTCATGAATCCCGGTTTTATGATTGCACAACCGTTGCACCATCACCTACTCATACAGTGACCATGCTGCACTAGGCACCGTTCAACTACGCAACCCATAAGCAGTCAAATATAAGCAGTCAATATAGCCCTACGGAGCGAAATACATTGTACATGTATGCAGGAATACTCGGAGGGAGTTGTGGTTGCTCGTGAGAGTGCTCAATACACCAAGGTGCAGAGCCTAGTAAACACACTTGAGAGGGATCAAAAGCGTTTCTTCTGTAACTCTGAGTTTCACGTTTTTAACAGTTGCTGTCTGATGATCGGTTAAAACCGTGAAACTCAGAGTTACAGAAGAAACGCTTTTGATCCCTCTCAAGTGTGTGTATGCAGGAATATTATTTTGACTGCTTAGGTATAGCGAAAATCAATGGGAGTCAATACAAAGAGAGTGATAAGTACATGTATGTGAACATGGTGTTTTTGTGGTGTCTGTGCGTCGCGGGCCGCGGGGCGGACTGCATTTCGGTTCACTTACATGTACATGTACATGTATACGCCCATCGCTTATTTGTGAGGGTGCGCTTATGCCCGGGTATAAACACATGGGCTCACATGTACATTTTTACTGTATTCTGCGCGTCACCACGGTAGCAAAAAAGGGGAACTAAGAAGATTAGTTAGAAAAGCTGACAGCACCGACGCAATCCACACAGTCAGCGAGCCAATTTGAATTTGGTAACCGAACGTTTTCGCTCCCTTCTCATCATGGGTAAGTACAGGGAATAATGAAAAATGTCAAAATACAGCAATTTATAGAGCTACAGCAAAAGCAAAGATCGAGAACCTCACGCTATACGTGTACGTGTGGACAAAATTGAATTCAGCAGAACAGGAACAGGTTTCCACACGTACATGTGTAGCGTTAGGTTCTCGATCTTTGCTTTTGCTGTAGCTCTATAAATTGCTGTATTTTGACATTAATTTTTTTCACTATTCCCTGTACTTACCCATGATGAGAAGGGAGCGAAAACGTTCGGTTACCAAATTGGCTTACTTGACTGTGTGGATTGCGTCGGTGCTGTCACCTTTTCTTTCGAAATTGGATACGCCTCCAATTTTTGTTCCTTTAACTTAAGATTAGTTACTTGAACATAATGGCCCATCTTAGGCGCGAAGACTACAAATGTACATGACATTGTATGGCTAAGCAAAAGAGATACGGATACACTGCACTGTGGCGACCAGCGACCAGCCTGGCACTACAGACCACTTCGCCAGGCACGGACGGTCTGACTCTCCTATTCATATTATTATCAAGAGTAGATTACATGTATAAGTGTGATTTACGAAGTCTGAAGAAAATTAATGCTGAACGGTCTCTGCTGGGATGATGACTACACCATAGCTCAGTGGTTAGAGCATCGCTGGCTACAAGCGAGGGTCCCTGGTTCGAGTCCTGGTGGTGACAGTCAACTTTTTCTTCAGACTTTTCCCGTTTGTCTCTTTCCCTCAAACAAGTTAAGATTATCTACTCTTGATAATAATAATGGTTGTACGGTGCAAACCTCTACTTAAGGACCACTTGCCACTAAAGACCGCTTTCTCTGGCCCCAAGGCGTGGCCGTTAGTCACAGGTTTTACTGTACTTGTAGGGAGTGGCATGGGAAATGTGAGGCTACACGTATCTCTAGATGAGTTGCTAGTGTACCGGTACCTTGGATAATAGTATGCACATAGTGCAGTACTGCAATGCACAATGAACTATATGTTCATGTACGTGAGCATGGTGTTTTTTGTGGTGTCTGTGTCTGTGTGTCGCGGGGTGGACTGCATTTCGGTTCACTTACAATTACATGTACATGTATACGCCCATGCGCTGGTTTGTGAGGGTGCGCTTATGCCCGGGTAGAAACACATGCGTAATCCCGTCCATGGTGCGCTGGATAGCGCTAACGCCGAGACCCTAGGTCGGCGTTGCTAGTCCCGCCTCACCGGCACAGGCTCCCTGAGAGCCCCTACCAGTACATTGTCTGTCTTTCTCCTTTGTTGTCTCGATCATTATTTTCTTTTGCCTTCTTCTTCTTCTCCTCTCTTTGTTATGGTCTATCAGTAGGAGGTGCATTCTGTAAAAAAAAAATAAAAAAAATAAAAAATGCGCTTAAATACACTTACATGTACTTGTAGGGAGTGGCATGGGAAATGGGAAGCTATATGTACATGTACATGGCATCTCTAGATTACAAAGGCAGAAGAGAACAGAGACAGCCGGCTACATGTAGGTCATTGTTGTAACGCTGCGGTTCATGCACATAGCAAAGCTAAGGCAATCCTCAGACAACTGACAACTCAGTTGTCTGAGGATTGCCTTAGCTTTGCTATGTGCATGAACCGCAGCGTTACAACAATGCCCTAGCCGGCTGTCCCTGTTCTCTTCTGCCTTTGTGGTAATGCTCCATCCTTGTGGTGTTGAGCACTCTAGACAATCTGGGAACTCTCGCTATTGTGTATCTCTAGCCTGCTGGTATGTGCCATTCAGGTAGACATTGAGCTCCAAACCTAGCAATACCATAGCAACAACAAGAGGCTGTGTATGTGGGGGGGGGGGGGGCAAGTGCTTATCAGCGAGAGACTAGAGACGTGCGAGAGAGAAAATCGAAGGAGGAAAAAGAGCAGAGAAAGCGAGATCGGCTACTATCAGTAGCTTCGACAAACAGCGGCAGGCAAACTGGCTGAGAAAGGGTAGGATCATGATGGCATGAAAGACAGAGCAAAAGGCTATCATGCCAGATTGAATGCATGGAAAATCCAAAATTTGCTCAAACGTATGCATGCATGCAATTCTGGCGTGTTATGCAGCCATTATCACGGTGGCACCACGGTGCATCATGCAACAACTGGAAAACAAATATCCAGTGCGGATTAATAAAATGAACTACAAGTGGACAGTGCAAGTGCTTCTCAACATTTTGCTCCGAGTAGAGCAGTAACTTTGCGGGTCACAATACGGAACTCTGGAAAGAACCAAAATTCGATAATTGAGTGAACGGACCCGGGAAATCCCAGCCGAAAATGTGCATGATGAAATCTATTTATGCCCCTGTTTTGCGGGGCGTGATGCATTACGGGGGAGGGAATAATTATGATACAGTCAGACCTCGCATAACCGCACACATCCGTTTTCAAGAAAAATATCCGGATAGGCGAGGGAACCGGATAATCAAACACACATACTGTATGTGTGCATGGCATATGCTGTAAATCGGTAACCATGCAACAATTTTCTACCGGATGGCGAGGGATCCGGATAAACGAGGACCGAATAAGTGAGGTCTGAGTGTATTACGCATGCAGCTAATTGTACAGTAATACCAAACATGCATGACAGAAAAACCTGAGAAAACAAAAAGCGTTTCAAATACGAAGACAGCGGTACCTCAAATATCCACCAACACTTCTGTGCTCTGGAACGTGGTGACTGCTGATGTGTTCAGGGAGCTACTCGGAGCTGCATTCCGAGGGAGAGGGGTCGGCCGGAAGAGGTCGTCTCCCTTCTTCGCGTCAGGCGCGGCTGTTCCGTTTTCATTGTCTTGGAAGGCAGTTACGTTTGTGTAGCCTACAGAGCATAGTACATACCACAGACACATGGGGTCAAAAAAGACACCATGCAGGAATAGAACATTACCATGGGTTCAATTGACTGGTTAATGGCAGAGGTTCTTATCTACACCTGTATTGCATGGTGGCTGTGGATGCCGGGGAATGTCTGAGTTTCACCAGAGCTTTCTCTCTCTCTCTCTCTCTCTCTCTCTTTCTCTCTCTCTCTCTCTCTTTCTCTTTCTCTCTCTCTCTCTCTCTCTCTCTCTCTCTCTCTCTCTCTCTCTCTCTCTCTCTCTCTCTCTCTCTCTCTCTCTCTCTCTCTCTCTCTCTCTCTCTCTCTCTCTCTCTCTCTCCCTTATTCTCTCTCAGGCTCTCTCTCTCTCTCTCACACCGTTTCTCCCTCAAAATTTCCCTCGCCAGGCTCTACAAGCATACACTAATTCCTGGAGGACTGCTATATGATTATGGCATCATCACCCATTGGTATAGTGAATTTACATAAGGAATGCCACAGGTCCGCCGGAACCAGTCCGGTTGGTCAGGTTATCACCGGACCAGCATGTTAGCCACCAACACCTGCCGGGACTAATTTACTTCAAAAAAATTGCATAGCAATAATTGCTACACACCCCGACGTTTGCATAGCAACGCAACAATTTTGCATAGCGGGTTTTTTCCGTCGACACTGCAGTCTTCAGTGCACTTCCACTTATACCGTCAACGAACGCCGTGCTGTAATTCCTCAAACCACGAAGCGAGGACGCCTTCTCCCTGCACATCTTGCAAAATATCTTGGTCACAGCTCCGCCACTCGACTCTGCACGATTCCATTCTTTTTTGGGATCAAATTCAGCAATCCACTTGTCCACAGTACCTTGCTTCACAGACATGCCGGCAGTGAAGAGGCTTCATCAATAAGGCTAGCAGAATTTTACAAAGATAAGTCCTGAACGGTCGAGATGCCTACTGCTAGTGAAGCAACGCGGTCTATATCTCAAAAGCAGGTGAAGTACTTGTCGACACTCGCCTCGTGCTTCCTGGGCTGCACTTCAAGTAAGTTAGTTAGTTTCCAAGTGCACGTGCTGCGGTGCGCGTGCGGAGATTGTGTGACATATGGCCATGGTCCCGCGGCCCGCGCGTGTGTATCGTGTAGAATCTACCTGCAGTGCTGCAGTGCAGGCTGGACAACCACACACACACAGTCTAATCTAGTTACAGTGCATGGCGCGCCATCTCGTGGCGCCAAACCAGCCACACACACTGTAAAGCTACACATGTGCATGCGCTACGCGTGCACTACAAGTCTATGTCCAGGGCCATACTTAGCTAACATGTATGTTGTGTCGCAGTTTACCGCGACTCACTACGAACTTCGAATCGCAGACACTGTGTTTTGCGTCGCAAACTGCGATGCGATACCGGTTAAATTAGTCCCTGCACCTGTGTACTGCAATGGAGGTCATGTGACATGTGTACCCGCCATGTCATACACAGAGTATGGAAGTCACTGAAAAAAAACTGGACCAATGAAAAACTGCTTCCGGAGGTGCTGTGCCACACCGTACCATAATACCCCCCCCCCCCCCCCCTTCTCACAGTGCAATATCATTATTTTGTTGATTTGTACTTGCCTTCCCCTCTATGGAATCAGCACTAATATCCATGAACCCTCCAAGTTGGAAGGCCGTTGATTAGCGCTATCGAGCAGTGCTCAAGCTGACTTTCATGCTGTGGAATGTACCAGTACTCCTTGTTAGTTTTGTGCTAGATTGTGCAGGTCTGACTGTTCAAAATCTAGTTTAGTTGGTGGGCTCGATCGCATAACTTGTGCCCACAAGTTCCATGTTACAAATTTGTACTTACGATCTGCATCTTCGGTTGGCCCGGTAACACCGTACATCGGGTTAAACATCGTCATGTCCGCCTGTTGGATGGCCGTCTTGCGCTGCTCGCGTCGCTTGCGGACCAGAATGACGAGGACGAGCAGGACGACGAGCAGGAGTGCCGCCACCACGACGCCAATGATGATGCCGGTCTCCTCGCCGGACAGTCCGCCGCTGCTTCCGCCCGCTACTGGTGCTTCTTGCGATGGCGTACTGGCTACTGTAGGCATAGCCCCCACCAGGCAAAGACACACAGGAGGGAGAGAAAAATCACGGTACAACTGTAGAAGCAGAATTTTTCGGTGGTGTAATATTTTCGATATTCTCCAAGATCGGCAGTTCAGGGGAGGGAAAATTTTCGGTTAACCCGTTTTCCAGGTAAGTGTACTAGTGCTAGCACCAAAATTGATTTAGTTCGGCCCAGAAGTTGTTATTTATCGACGTTTGACGTCAACACTTTCAATTATTGATACCCAGCTCCTACAAATACTCACACTCAGTCCTAAAAACGTGACCAGAGACTGAATTGCCTGTATGAAGAGCACAGACGCCACTCTGCTGAGGGCCAAATTTGAAAAATCAGATTATTCGAGCAGCTCAGTGTAATCAAAGGGTCTATGGCACCACCAGGCAAAATTTTACATTCAAAATCTGATAAGAACCATTTCAAAACTGCTGCCCTAACTGCACATGAAATAATTCCTTTTTTGGCCATTAGGGGCCATCCGTAAATACCGATATTTATTTAGAAACGAAAACTACCGTATTTTACCGGTTGTAAGTCGACCCCCCTATCTGGAGGTCTCAATTCTGTGTTTTAAAGTTTTCACTCAAAGAAGCACTACTAACCACCTCCTGCTACTAACACATCAACAAATCATGTAAACATTCCTTATTGGAGGATATAACGTCCCAATCCTTGAAAAAGGCCAATAAACTGGCAAAATGTGTAAACATGGTGCAATCGTGCATGCAGTGCAGGTCATTTTTTGTAAGATTCTGATAGTTCCCGGTTATAAGTCGAATCCCGGTTGTAAGTCGACCCCCACCCTTTCTCCTTCTATTTTAAGTCGTAAAAGGTCGACTTACAACCGGAAAAATACGGTAGTCGTTTTTCTTCAACCCCCTCCCCCCTCCCCCCTCCCTGAGACACGAACACATACCAAACAGTACATAAAATCGATTTTTTCTTTTTTCTGGACGAGCCCACACATACAAACTGTGCGTCGATATTTTTCGAGAAACGAACAGGCGCTCGATGTTGTCATGGCCTGAATGAAAACTGTACCTGATGCCGTCATGTGCTGCATGGTAACCGTACCTGATGACGTCATGGGATGAATGGCTGTTATTATAAGCCACGTTTCTTGAAGTAAGTCAGTGGGCTATGACGAAATGCCGCACCTCTTTTCTTTCCTTTTTTCCTTCTTTTCTCTTTCTTTTTTCTTTCTCCCTCACTCCCTTTCTGATGATCCCCAGTTATTTTGTTTCCTGTTCGACCCTCTTTGAAGTTGTGCATGGTACTGTTGAGGCAGTGAACTACAATCGGAAACAAAACAAACAAAAAAACATTTACCTGATGACGTAATGGCTGACTCTTCGCTTGAAATCACTGCGGCAGGGCCCGTCGTTGCTCCATCTCCAAGTACTGGCGTGGTTGCTGGCGCTGAACTTGGCAAAGGTGCGGGCGGCAATGACGTCTGCTCTCCCGTCACGGTCGGTGATGCTGCCGGCATCGTTGTGACTGGTTGTGTTGATGCAATGGTGGCTGTGGCCATGCTGGTGGTGGCTTGTGGTGTTGCCGCGGCAGGTGATGAAGTGGTCGGCGGCTCGCTTGTAACGGTGAGTGGTTCCGTAGGAGCTGGTGTGGTAGCCATGATTGTACTAGCTGGTGTTGTTGTTGTCTCAACGGGGGTGGTAGCAGCCATCGTAGTTGTTGGGGCGGCTGTGGTTGTTGCCATGGAATCTGCGCTGGTGGTTATGGTTTCCGTAGTTTCGGTTGTTGGCTGACTAGTGGGAATGGCTGCATGAATAGAAAGTTGAGGTGTGTGCACGTGCGCGCATGTGTGTGTGTGTTCGTGTGTGTTTGTTTGTGGGTTTTCATTAGTGTGTGTGTGTGCACGTGTGCGAGTGTGCAAGGAGAGAGACAGAGAGAAACAAAAAGGGGGACAGATATAGAGATTAAAAACCACAGACAAATAGATCCCATGGAATCAATATGCACATCACGTTTCAAACCAAGCCGTGGGCTGTACTACACATACAACTAGAATTTCAAGAACTTCTCTCGCTTTTGATCACATACTACTCGCCTTGGTCTTTGTCAGGCACAGGCCTTCACAAAGGCAGGTGGAAAATGGCATATTGGCTATGCGCTTGTGGGGTTGGAGCTTAATAGACCCAGGTACACTAAGGGCATTACTGCCCCCCCCTCTCCCCGGGGAATACTGGCCCCAGGAAATGATGGCCCCGGGAATACTAGCCCCCGGGAACACTGGCCCCATGGCCCAGGGAATACTGCCTCCCTGGGAATACTGGCACCCAGGAATACTGCCCCCGGGAATTTTGGCTCACGGGAATGCTGGCCCCCGGGAATGCTGGCCCCTGGGAATGTTGTTCCCTGGTAAACTGCCCATGGGTCTTCCATTCGCAGAGTCTGCATCTGTATAAGTTTGCCCTTGCACACAAGATCACCTTCTCCGTCCTACAATAAAGTAGCCCTCCCCATCACATCCCACACACACACACACACACACACACATACACAGAGTCAGACAGAAGGAGACTAGCAGATAGACTACCAGCTAGACAGAGAGGCATGCACATATACACACACACAAACGGCCTTGAAATTGCTTGAATGCACACAATCTTGGTGGCAATACTCGAATATCTAAACCCCTACCCTACGTCAGTGCCAACATTTTCCCATAACTTATCCCTCACATTATCCACAACATCTGTGTGATATTGGCCTTCATTCGTGAATTAAGTAGAGTAATGACAATCTAAGCGCCAAGTATCACGTATGATCTGATTCATAATGATTAGTATTAGGGTTCCGGGTCCCACTGCGGCTCCGCTACTCGTAATCCGCGGCTTGAAACGTCATCATTACCATAGTGACTGCTGCTCGAGCTGGAGCAGCGAGGCTGCGGCTCACCGCGAGCTTTCGCTAGGATTCTTGATCAGAAACTGCGAGCCGCAGTCGCGGCTTGATCTGTTTCCCGTACTTTATATTGTTTTGTACTGGAGAAATTTAAAATTCAAATTCTATTTCGTTGCGCAGGCCAGAACACGAGGATGTTTTTGATTTTGCGCGCCCAGGCAGGTAAAACGTCATAAAAAAAACGTGGAGCACGGCCGTGGTGCCGCGAATGGCGAGTGTCAGTGGAACCGCGCTGCTCCGCTGCCTGCAGCCAAGTGCCGTGGAGCAGCGGAGCCGCAGTGGAACCCGGCCCTTAGGTTTTTACCATCAGTCGTCTGGTGATTGCAGTGGTATGAAACTTTGAGTCACGACAAATCCAAACTGGACTTAATTCTCGTGTTTTCTTGTGAGCTCCTACCTGTACAGTCTCCGATTCGACCAGTGCCAGTGAACCCTGGTGGACAGACACATACGAAACCACCCGGTATATCCTGGCAGGCGCTGATAGGATCACACAGCACATTGTCGGTCGAGCAGGAGGACGCCTCGCAAACGCCATTTGCAGCGCGATATCCGTCAGCACAGCGGCATGAGAATCCGCCCACAATGTTTTCGCATTGCATGTTGCTGCCGGTGCAGTTATGCGAGCCAGCATCACATTCGTTGATATCCTGGCACTCAACACCATCACCTGTGAATCCGCTGTTGCAGAAGCACGCGAACGTTCCCACCTGCAGTCACACAGCATGCACACAGAGATAGACACAGAGACATAGACACAGAGATATAGACATACGCATCGCAGAAGCGATGATAGCGAACAGCTATGTTAGACAGAGCAACTTGTGCTGGGATTACACTATTCAACAGCTTGCAGGGTTGATGAATTGACCGCCACTAATTTTACCCTGGTCTACACCACACAGCTGATTGAAGTGGCTTTTTCTGGCCAATGAATCCCCCTTTTTCATTTTTTTCCCACACACACACACACAACATCACACACACAAGCATACATGTACACACACACCCGTTTTTGAATTATATACTTTGGAATTTTCATGCTACGATAACTTTTCGTAATGTCCTTCTCTCATAATATTTTATTTAGGGCTCAAACGGTTAGTCCGATTAACCGGTTGCAGACCGGTTACGAAGAATTAACGGTTAACCGATAAAGATAGCGGTTACGCAGTAACTTTTTAGTCAATTTTTCAAGTACCAGGTCGTTGCAAAGTATACACTTTTGCAGGCTGTCGCACGCGTATGCAATTATTTCTGGGCTGTCAAGTCGGTCATATCTGGTCTCTTGGTGTGAGAGTATGTATGAGTGAGCATGCAAGAGAATGTACATGTGTGCGTTGTACTGAATAGGGTACATTTTTTGAATGAGTATAGTCAAATATACGGTTAAAAAAGAGTCCGCAGGATTGCCGTGGCTTATAGGTTATAACCGTTAAACCGACCGTTAGCTTAGCAGTTAACCGTTAGGGGTAAAACCGTGACCGCTTGAGCCCTAATTTTATTCATTTTCAGCAAGAACCGGAGGTTTTCCTCTGGTGAGATGGCAGAATTGCCTGTGCTCCGAACGAATCAAATACAAGAAACAAACAAACATGCCCACCTGGTTCACGCATCGGGCTGACGCCGAGCAGTTGTCCACGCCAGTGAGACATTCATCGACATCAAAACAACCCGCATCCGCGGCTACAGTGGCACTCGCAATGTACCCCCCGCGGCACGGGCACTCGAACGAGCCCTCGGTGTTGTAACACGTGCTGGTCGTCAGATTGCACACGCTCGCGCCTCCGTCAGTAGCAGCGGCACACTCGTCAAAGTCGGCACAGTGCGTGGCGTTCTGGCGACCGTAGCCGTTCTCGCAGACACACAGGAACCCGCTGAGCGTATCGATGCAGCGCGTGCCCTCGTGCCGGAAGCAGTCATGCTCGCCGAGTGCGCACACGTCGATGTTCTGACACTCGGTGCCGTTGCGCTGGAAGCCGCGGTCGCACTCGCACACGAAACTCCCCACCGTGTTGTTGCAGGTCGAGTGCAGCCGGCACAGGCTGCTCCCGTTGCGAGCGCACTCGTCAATATCGCGGCACACCTCGTCGCGAACCTCGAACCCGGCCAAGCAGGCGCAGCGGAATGAGCCAGGCAGGTTCTCGCACGTGGAGTCGTCCGGGCAACCGTGCGCGACCGTGGCAACACACTCGTCTATGTCGGCGCAGACGTCGCTTGCGTCGAACTCGTACCCGGTCTGGCATCGACACTCGGCAGTGCCTGTGGCACTGGGCATGCAGACGGCCTGTCGAGGCGTGCAGTCGAGTGCCGACAGTACGCACGGGTCTGTCTGTATGCAGTCTGTGCCGTTGTACGTCAAGCTGGCTGGGCACAGGCATTGGTAGGAACCTGTGAGAGGATAGGAGAAATGAGAACCAGTGAACAAGTAGGGAATTTTAAGAAGTTGCAGAGAAAGGTAAGCAGACGGACAAAAGCACAAGCTGCATAACAGCATATTGTTTACACTCTAAGTTTCATGATCTAAGTCAATCATCACTCATAGGACAATAATTCAGGACCGCCAGAAGCAGTTTTTGATTGGTCCGGTAGTGTCCTAGCCTTTCATACTTTACCACAATTTGTGCATGGAGCTCTTTACAAAAATGCTTTGCTTCACGGAAACGTATTTCATTGCGAAGAACTGCGCTTCGGTCCTCTGAGCTGTGCTGATGAGCTCTAACAGAGCGAAACAGTTGCTGTCCACAGACTTGAGTATTATGCTCCCTAGCATCAGCAATGTCGTTAGGTTGAGCACTTTTACCTTAGCGCGAACCCTTGCCGCTCGCCTTGTGCAACGCTCACTGCTCTTGGAGCATTTCAAGCACTCTTGGCGGGGTTTGCAGCTCTTTATAAAAATGCTTTGCTTCACGGAAACGTACTTCATTGCAAAGAGCTGCGCTTCGGTCCTCTGAGCTGTGCTGATGAGCTCTAACAGAGCAAAACAGTTGCTGTCCACAGCCTTGAGTATTATGCTCCCTAGCATCAGCAATGTCGTAAGGTTGAGCACTTTTACCTTAGCGCGAACCCTTGCCGCTCGCCTTGTGCAACGCTCACTGCTCTTGGAGCATTTCAAGCACTCTTGGCGGGGTTTGCAGCTCTTTATAAAAATGCTTTGCTTCACGGAAACGTACTTCATTGCAAAGAGCTGCGCTTCGGTCCTCTGAGCTGTGCTGATGAGCTCTAACAGAGCAAAACAGTTGCTGTCCACAGCCTTGAGTATTATGCTCCCTAGCATCAGCAATGTCGTAAGGTTGAGCACTTTTACCTTAGCGCGAACCCTTGCCGCTCGCCTTGTGCAACGCTCACTGCACTTGGAGCATTTCAAGCACTCTTGGCGGGGTTTGCAGCTCTTTATAAAAATGCTTTGCTTCACGGAAACGTATTTCATTGCAAAGAGCTGCGCTTCGGTCCTCTGAGCTGTGCTGATGAGCTCTAACAGAGCGAAACAGTTGCTGTTCACAGACTTCAGTAGATCATGGAAAAATACCTTTGTAGTCAGAAGTTGATAGCGGCACAAAGCTTGTTTTGCTTGTAAGGCAAAAGCACTTCAGTCCTTTACCACTGCACTCAGGTTTATGGATATAGTGGAGCTCACTTAGTACAAACTCTGCTACATACTCTTGCTTAGCTAGTACATACTAAGGGCGCGTTTGAATTGTCTTCATCAACTGTTCAAACAAATTTTATAAAGAGATTAGTTGAAGTGTCCCATTACAATGGTTTCTATCATTTTGGAATTTTTCAGTGGAATTGTCATGGCGATGATGACATCCGATCAGATCGACCATCTCCACGCACGTGACGTAGCTATTCCCAACTCTTCGAAACTAATCCACCTCTCCCGTCGGGTGAGGTTGTGGAGTTTCGAGGAGCTTCGTTTTTCTGAAGAGGCCAATAAGGCCACCTCTTCAGAAAAACGAAGCCCCTCGAAAAGTCAAAGAGTGACAATTCGAACGCGCCCTTAGATAAGATGAAATCCTTGGTTGATACGGATATTGTCTGGAGCACGGATGTATCAATCTGTACTAACGTGTGGTGGGATAAGAAGTACATGTACCTGCCTCGGATGCGAAGTACACTTTCCTACTGCCCTTGGGGATACGTATGATCAGAATTCCACTCTACCACCATGCCCCCCCCCCGGGAAAATCACACACACAGTGACACACATACACATGCACACAAACACACACGCACACATGCGCACACACACAAACACACGCCTGCACGCACGCACACACACACACGCACACACAATGCACACCGACACAAAAACACTACCCAGATGTATACCGAAAGCAACTCACCTTGCGTATCCTGGCAGGTAGCTGACGATGAGCAGTTGTGTGTTCCCTCCGCACATTCATCAATGTTAGAGCAAAGCGGGCTAGGACGAAAGCCAACACGACACGGGCAAATGAAGCTTGGTATCTCATTGACGCACGTGGTGGAATTCTCCTGGTGCCCTAGGCTGGTGCAGCTGTTTGGATTCAGGCATTCGTTCAAATCTTCACAGAGAAGGAGGACACATAGAATATGCTACATACGCACAATGAAGAGAACATACCCTCTACAGTCGAATGTCACTTATCCGGTCGCCAGTTATCCGAGCACGTCGGTTATCCAACAAGCCCGGGAGTGGTAATTTTATGACTCTCAACAGTAAAATTCTAAAAAAATTGTTTGTTTGTTTGTATAACATACGGTGTAATATGCATTTACTTGAAGTAGATGTGGTCAAGTATGCTAACATGTATGTGTACATGGAGCAATTCATGAATATGCATGAATATATTTGGGTATTGTGTAAATAAATCAGTGAAATCCAGCCATATATGCACACAAAAAAATGATATCAGTTATCCGACATATCCAGTTATCCAACATGCCTGATTCCCGAAGTGGTCGGATAAGTGACATTCGACTGTACTTATAGACTTCGGAGATAACGACACTTCGCGAGTAAGGACACTTTCCTGATGCACCACCGAGTGTCGTTATATGCAAAGTTGACTGTAGCCGCTTGTGCATATCATTGTTGACTTTGGGGTGTAATGCATATTTTAGAAACGCGTCAAAATAAATATTTCAAACATGTTCGATTTTTCAGCACATAACAGACGCGTACTGGCATACATGTCAGCCACTTTTACTGGCGGGGTAAAACAAACTAGTACTCGAAGGCAACACAAGTCCCAAAATACAACTTGAGGTGCAGCTTTCTGTGAGCGTCTGAACATGTGTTTGGGCATGCGTGAACCGCTAGCGTACCCCGTACATGCGCCAGTTATGAACGCAGCTTTAGGCCTAAACTCAAGCATACAACTTGCCCCGTAGAGACCTTATACACTCTGAGTAACCGTAATAGCATGGTGCTTTGCACGCTGAATTTACTTACCAACGGCGATAAAGTCGTTTGCGAATTGCACAGCTCCACCGACAAGCGCGCTGCATTGAATGGGGATACCCGCTGTTCTACTGTAGTCTAGCGTGGACAGAATCAGCGTGTTGTTGAACGGGCCATCGAATGAAATCTGGTCCGGAGAAGGACCAGAGTTGGGTAGGCCTGAGCCGATGATCCAGGTGACTGGTGCTGTGATTGCAGGGTCCCCGACGCATGTTGCCCTTGCTGTGCTCAGATCTGGAATGACCTGACCGGGTGGTTGTATCACCAGTGCTGATGGAGAGAGAGAGAAAGGGAGAGAGAGAGAAAGGGAGAGAGAGAGAGAGAGAGAGAGAGAGAGAGAGAGAGAGAGAGAGAGACAGAGAGACAGAGACAGAGAGAGAGAGAGAGAGAGAGAGAGAGAGAGAGAGAGAGAGAGAGAGAGAGAGAGAGAGAGAGAGAGACAGACAGATAGATAGGTAGATAGATAGAGAGATAGAGATAGATAGATAGATAGATAGATAGATAGAGAGAGAGAGAGAGAGAGAGAGAGAGAGAGAGAGAGAGAGAGAGAGAGGGAGTGAGAGGGACAAAGAGAGAGAGAGAGTGAATGATTGGGACAGAGAGTGAAGGAGACACACACACACACAGATAGACAGACAGGCAGACATCCAGCCAGACAGCAGTCCAGCCAGCAAGCCAGTCAGCCATCCAGACAAAGAGACAGACAAACAGAGGGAGGGAGGGAAGAAGAATTTCTGAACCCCTCAGAACTTGGGTATCTGGGCTTAGTGGTGACTCACTGATGTGAAGGTCTTTGCTTAGGTGCTGCAGTGCTTCTCAACAGAACAATACTTGGGCTTGAGTGACACGTACTACACTCAAATTCGCTAATAACGACTGCGGATATAATGAAAATTCGCGAATAAGGACAGAATTTCCATGCCCAGAGCAAAGTCCCATCCCACTGTAAGCTGTATTACATAATGAGACTTCGGGTATAACGACACTTCGCGAATAAGGACACCTTTTTGATGCCCCGCCGAGTGTCGTTATAAGTGAAGTTGACTGTACACTCGAACGTCTCTTATCCGGACGCCTCAGATACATGCATGTCTCTCTACCGGGCACCTTCAGCTTGTGTTCCTATGGCAACACTGCTTGAATCTAGGGGGGGGGAGAGAACATGTTTTCGTATGCGCAAGTGCTTATTTGTCTCCGCCAACCCATATAATCCACCCATTTTCATCTGCAGCTTCTTTTTTTAATCCTGAAAATGTGCAATACGTGGCAAATAGACTTCTTCAAGAAAAGATATGACACAGGGTAGGTGAGTTGTCCTGAGATACGGACAGTGCCCGGTTCCAAGGTGCCCGGTTCCAAGGTGCACGGATACGAGACGTCCAAGTGTACCAGTATCTAGAATCCAGCTGACTTGGCCTTCTTTCTTTTGGTTTAAAACAGTCGTAAGCCTTATGGACTGTCCCTAATAGGGCCTGTCAGTGATACGTCAAAAACGGCCAGGGAGTACTAAGTTGACATCAGATTTCTATTTTGGATCCACTAAGGTGTGACTTTGCTATTGCCTCAGTATGTGGGTACATAGCAACCCACTCATGTCGTATGCAGGGGTGACTTTTACTTCGTCAGTGGATCCAGTTTTTGAATTTTTGAAATTGTTGCTATGCTGTGACGTAGCACTTTCAAGCCCTATGGAGCCACCGCTCCCAATAGGCGTTTGAAGGATGAGTCAATCCCGAGCCATGCAGTAATTGCAAGAGTACATAAACCTCCAGGCATGTGGAACTCCACTTTTGGTGTTGTTCCCACCGATTTTCAAGCTGACGTCATTTTTGTGGCGTGATGCGCGTTGTACACATTTTATGAGAAGTATCTTGCACATGGCGCGTGTGTGTGTGTGGGGGGGGGGGGGTACAAATCCTATTCGACGCTGTAAGAACTAGCTCTAGGAAACACATGTTCAACGCTGACACGCGGTGCAAACATCGTGAATCACGCGTGCGAGGAGCATTGCATCATCATAAAAATGACATCAACTTGAAATTCTGCACTGTATGAGCGAGTTGCACACACTTGGGGGTTTGCACTATCGGTAATATGCATGCATGTGCACGTGATGTACGTATTCTTAGAACTTTACTTACTTTGGCACTCCGTGTTGCGGTAGAACAGGGCTACAATCACCACGGACGCTAACCACCCGTGTGAAGCCATTGCGTAGAGCAAGGTAGAGCACGAGCTACCTCCGAGACAACTGCCTAGGAACAAAACCAGCAGGTGGCTGAGAATGCTACAAGCACAGCCAAACAAGAGCAGTTGCTTCCGATGTGGACAATTAGCGTTGCTGTCTGGGCCTTTATTCCGAGTTGATTTTGCTCTGACGGCAATGGTGCATCCACCAATTGCTCACTCCGCAGTTTGCTGGCACCCTGATTGGGAAGAATTGGAATTTGATGATCCAGTAAGGACAATTGGATGGTTGTAACAGTTCCGATATTTGAGCTGCCACGGACCACACACTTATCGCAACAATATAGACAAATAGCACGTTATTCTCCACAAGGAACTACTGACTCCGATCTCACCGCATGGCAACAAAACCAAAAACCAAACAGACGAAGAATCATGTAGCGCGACAGGGGATCCAGAATAATGACTGGCGTCTTCAACTGGAAACGGAGAATCCTCAGCGTAGAACAACGTCAGTGCTCCCCACACATCTGAAACTAACTAATACTTGGAGTAGCATCTACCACCGCGTAGCACGCGCCCGCATATAGAGTCACTTGCGACAGCGACTCGACCGGAGATGTTGCAAAACCGGACGCCTGGCAGAGCGGATATCGCGCGGAGGCCGGCCAGACCCATCATACGGCGCCGATATCTTAGGAACCACACGCCCGGGGTTTGGGGAAACTGGCCAACCCACACATACGTGCCATGCGCAGCTTTGCCCTTCAGACTTCAGTGTCCGACCCGGGTATCCTTCGCATCACAAGGTAAAGGCGTGAAAGAGCTCGGGACATGGATCGCTACACGAACGTGCTACATAACACAATGACAATGCACACAAGGCGCAAGTGGAAGATGGAGCATTCACCAGCCTCCATCGCCATCGGTGTATACGTACGCCAACGATGAAGTGTCAGCGCAAAGAGGGAAATGGAACCTAAAGTAACCACTCAATCCATGGATCTTCTGACTCAGCTCTCGCTCTCCACAAGTAGTTTCTCCAAGTGTTTTCATCCTTCTAATCTATACCACTATGTAAAGAGATGGAGTGTGGATTGTTTGGGGTTTCACTCTGGGAAGTCACCCACTACATTCACACTCAAGTGCTGGAAGTGAAAAGCGATGAAAAGTGCCACGTGCTTTCCCTGAATGGCCGCGCTGCTGCATTGGCTGAAGTGATCATTCGTCGCTGCCCGATTGTGCCGTGTCAATCGTATTACATATAAGTATTTAGTGTGATCAAAAAGTAAAACCTTACGTCAGGTTAGGTAGTCTTTTTTGGACTTTCCATGACGCATATGTGAGGTGGTTGGCGTGGCGGGCGTCGAAGGTTGTTTCTGAGAGACCGAAGTAGATCTTGCTGCTAGATTTGGCAGTGGCTTCGTACATTCACTATTTCCTTGGCTTGGCACTCTCCGCGGAATGGGCAGGACTCCTTGACTGTGCATTGTATTGCTTGGAAAACAACTAATAGCCTATACCCCACGGCACGCATGCCAGTAACTAACTGACTGTAAATTAATGATTTTGCGTTTCGGGTGTGAACATGCCATAACCGAGCCCAGTGTCCCAGTCCCCCATATATTCAGACAAGAAACCAAATCGTTTGGGGATGACTGAACAGGGGCCACATGCAGGCTAACACTGAATGACAGGATACTAGTTCCACCTCCCAAAAACCTTACTTCACGTACCAGGTTTGTTCGTACGGCTCCTAAAACCCAGTAGAATGAAGGAGCTATCCCAGCTCAGTGGCATGCTTTCTCCATCCACTGTGCATTTGTGTTATAACTCTGTCATGTTCCTCATTATAGAATTTGCGGCCTCGGGATAATTCTATCTTCACATTTTTATCAATAGACGTAAGCAATTGCCTTTAACAGAGTAGTGACCTGGTACAGTAAAACTTGTCAAGGCGACCACTCTGATAAGGCGACCACCTGTCCCAGAAGGCGACCACCTGCCCCAGAAGGCGACTGCAACCAAGACCAAGGGATGCAATTTCCAGTCAAAATAATGACCCTGGATAAGGAGACCACCTGGTAACAGAGACCACGCTTTGAAGGTCTATTATAAATAAATTATTCATATCTTTTTGCATCTTTCCCTCGAGTGGGTCTATTGTTATTAGGCAATTGTCTGTTATAGTCACCACTATAAATAAAATCCAATCCAAATCCAATCCAATCCAAGGTCCTTTGAACGGTCGTCTTAGACAGGTTCCACTGTCGTAGGTACCAGGTTGAAAATTCCCCATGTGGGCTTTGAAATGTCAACACAAAACCCACAGCAGGGCAGAAGTGTTTTTTTTCTTCCAACGAACCCTCTCCGATCATGTGACAGACTCAAAATGGCAAAGAGGTATGAATTTAAAAAAAGTCAAACGTCATCCGCACTCAAGGCACATCTCCAAAGTTAGTTCTGGGTCTTGTAGTACACTGGATTTCAAAATTCAGATCACGTCCAGAATTTGTACAGAGTATTGTGGTGCAACTGCAGATAGCGAGTATGTTTCAATTCAAAGAACAAACCTTAAAAATCAACTACTTAGATCTCCTTCCCCAGGTGCAACAGGATTATACAACCAATAAAAAATCATTGCTCCATACTCAAAACTGGAATAAGAGATACATGTGCGTAGTTAGCTGGATTTCCCCAAGTAAGCTCCTACCAGTGTGCCCAATTAATTTAAGGAGCGCGTCAACAAGGTGAAATTGCAACATTCTGCATCCTATGAATGCACCGATGCCAAGCAAAAAACTATTCACGTCAATACTACCGACGCTCACAATCAAGACTATAACTTCAAGAACACGCAGGTCATTCTCACTATAGCAGTGAAGGAGTGGAGAAGTAAGAACTCCCAGAAAATATAGGCATGATCAGATGTGTCACAAGCTGCCTGGAATAGAAGCACGTCACGTGACTGACACTGACACAACTTCATAATAAGCCTTACAGTACCGTGTTCAGGCTATTCGTCTTCGGCTTGCGTGGCCAGAAACCACACTCGTACTTTGGTTCCCCATGGCGATTTTCTGCTGCTGATTCTCTTCCAGCCAAACTTCTCCAGCTTGTACACGTAGTTTGGCTGAAAATCCGTTTTTGCGAAGTCCTTCATTCGACCACGGACGTACTCGTACTTAGCCATGATTTCCATGCCTTCCCCAGTCTTGATCACGTGGAGGCCGGATGGTAGCGCCAACGGCTGGCAATTGGCCATAGCTACTGCTTCTGCTGAGAATGCTTCTGCCACCTGGGACCCGATGTCATCCTCAATGGCCTTGCTGCCTTCAAGCAGGTCTGGTTTGTCCTGTGTGACTGTTGGGTGCTTGTCTTGAAACCCTTCTTCGATGGGCAGCCCTTTCAGATACCTTGGAGCACATAACAATTCGTCGCACATACACAACACAGCACAACAGCCAGGTATTAGTGTACAGTAAAACCTGGCGTGAGCGACCTCTGATTTTAGCGACCACCTGCTTTTAACGACCGTTTTTCCATGCACGGATAGTTCTACATAGACACTGCACTGGATACAGCGACCACCTGCCATGCCCGAGCAGCGACCAATGTTTAGTGTACCAAGTTTACGTGCAGTGAAACCTGTCTAAGACGACCGTTCAAGGGACCTTCAAAACGTGGTCTCCGTTACCAGGTGGTCTCCTTATCCAGGGTCATTTTTACATGTACATGTACAGTCAATTTCGCGTATAATGACAACCGGTGGGGCATCAGACAAGTGTCCTTATTCGCGAAGTGTTGTTATACCCGAAGTCTCATTATATTATGTGTCACAGTTGGATGAGACTTTGCTCTGGGCATGGAAATTATGTCGTTATTCGCAAATTGTCGTTATATCCGCAGTCGTTATTAGCGATGTTGACTGTAGTTAAGTATCAAGTGGTGCACTTCACAGACCAGTCCTGTTCTCGTTCACCCATTTCATGTTTGCTGTTTATCACTGTTGGCAAATTTCCAAACTCCCTTACGCACAGAGTCAGGTTCCGTGTTGATCCTATTGCAACTTTCAACAATTCTCTTAACCACACAGTAACGCGGTGTTAGATTTGTGCAAGAAACATAGTCCTTACCCCTTGATCTCTCCGTAGTTCTTCTCAGCCCATTCTGCCAAAGCCCGTCCGTCTTCAGCTGTGGCATTTGACCTTGAGTAGAGCCATTGTCGATTATCATCCACCAAATGCAGCGGAGTGTCGGCACTGTTGAGGACTAGAAGGTGTGTGAAAACTGGTTCTGCTCTTGTTTTCCTGTTCTTCACATCGTGCGTCTGAATGTAGCTTGTAACAATGCTGTTCAGGGCTGTGAATGCTTTGATGTGCTCTCGTTTCGCACCAGAAACTTCATCGGCCACAGTGAACAACTTTCCAATGAGCTGAGATTCAGCGGACCTCTGCTTCAGATCATTCAAGCAGTTAAGCTGGCCTACGTAATCATGGCCTACGCAATGGCGCAGGATCTCACCGAGAATAGACTTTCCAGAACCTCGAACCCCTTGAATGCACACTGCGCAGGGCGACTGGAGACCTGGTGCACAGGGTGAAAAGGGCAAAAGAATGGAAAAAAAAGGAACAGAAAGGATTTAGTTGAGTACAGTCAACTTCGCTTATAACGACACTCGGCGGGGCATCAGAAAAGTGTCCTTATTCACAAAGTGTCGTTATACCCGAAGTCTCATTATATGTATTACAGTTGGATGGGACTTTGCTCTGGGCATAGAAATTCTGCCGTTATTCGCGAACTGTCGTTATATCCGCAGTCGTTATAAGCGAAGTTGACTGTACTGTACACAGATTTTGCTAAACCTTCTTATATGCACCACCGATGGTACAGTGCATATTGAATAGTACAGAGCTGGCAACTGAAATCCAACCCCTGAGCGTTGCGCTCACATCGCAAAGACACAACGCGGGATTGTAGAACTACGAAATAGAGACGGCTATAATGTGAACGCACAGCTCAGCTGTCGGATTTCAGATGCCAGCATTAAGGTGGCAGACTACCCAAAATTCGCTGAAAATCGAATTTGTAAATTCATATTGAGTGCTACGTCAGTTGAAAGAGCTTGAGCAGCTGCAAATTGTCTGAAAATTGTGTCCCGATCTGACCAGCCGTTCAAGAGTTGTGGCCTAAAATGTGGCCTTGCAAGAAAAGATTTTTTTGCTGCACGCTGTCATTTGTTGGCAGCACTGTATTTGAATGTGAGCAGACCGTGCGCAACTTGTCGTATCATAGAAACACGCGAAAGTGTGCAGAATTTTGCTCCAAGTCCAAAAATCACGTTTTTGAGCCACGTATTGGGCTGCACGGCGGCGGGCGTCGTCCGTCGCCGTGCAGCAGGACTTTTGCCAGCAACCTCGTGACGTTGCAGATATGTGGCTTGATTATTGTAGTTGACGTTGATTTAGTGACTTTGGCAAGTTTGAGTCGTGTCAAGAAGTCAGGTAGAATTCAGTACTAGGCAGTAGTGAAACGTTATTGGTAGTCTTTGCCAGTTTCTGAGGGTATCCTGGATTTGGTGTGCAGCGCTGTGGAAATGGCTTGCTGTGGACGTCCCAGCACTGGATGTTGTATCACAGGTACGACCTCGTAGCACGTGCTAAACCTAAAAAAATTCAAAAATTGACTTGGGTCTGTGGGAGACTGCGGGAGAACGCCCACTCGTTCCGTTGTGACAGATTCCAGGGCCACGTTGAGAGGCCCTACCCCACCACCCATGGCTGCTTCTGGACATGTTTTAGGTTTAGTCCCGCGCACGGACAGAATGGGCACGAAAATGTGAAAAAAAATTTTAATGCATTTGTTTGGCTCCTGGGTGGCTCGCACACCGTGGTACTATGCCGGAAATTTGAGTTTTTCCGGCCTGGAAAGCCTGTCAGTGAGGCGCAAGAACTTGTAAATCATGTCCTCAGGGCTAGCATAGTGGCAGGAGTGTGTGGTCAAAATTTCACTCAAATCCATTGAGAAACACCAAAGTTACGGTCAATTGAATGCCATATGAAATTTATGGGTAGGCTGCCCCTTAAAGCACTAAACGGCAACACAATTAATTATACAACAGGGAGTGACATAAAAATCTTACCATGATACAATCCTCAACAGGGAATGAAACAAGGATCTTACCTGGCCTCTGCATTGGCAATGCGAGCCATTTGAGAAGGAAGGCTGCGACCTCCTTGTCTCCGCCTGACATCAAGCCAATATGTCTGATGAACGGGCGTACTTGCTGAAGAGAGTCCAAGTGTCTCTCTCGTACCGCACCGTCAGAGCGAGGCCACTGCCGCAGGTAGTTCCTGTACTTTTCCAGCTCTGGGTAGTTCGGGGGTACCTTGATCTCTCCTCTGCATAGATAAGGCAAAAAATGCCACATATCAATCACCTATTGAGTACCAGGTAGATTTGGAGGTTGGTTAGGTAAAATAAACTAATCAAACATGGCTCTCATTACCAGGCAACATAAAACCACTTGAATCATAGTGTAACACCTTCCGCTGGTCTATGGCACATTGCATAATAATACATGTACTTCGAAGTAAGATATTAGTATACAAGAGAGAGAGAGATTGGAAGGTGTGTCGCAACTCTGAGTTTCACGTATGACTACGATCATCAGGCAACTGATGGCTCCACAACGGGCAGCCTGAACATAAGTGGGAGCAAGGTGAGAAATACGGAGGGGAACCATAGCGAACGAGTCAAGTGCATGCGAGAAGTTCTTAAGGCTTTGCAGCAGCAGCAGTTCCGGTGTGAATAAAATACTATAAATAGAATGCTGATCGTAGAGATACGTGAAACTCGGAGTTGTGACAAAGCTTCCAAACTCTCTCTTGTATAAATAGAATAGAATAGAGCTGGGGACTTGAAGAGGACTAAAATCAAATTTTCACCAGTTGTAGTCTTCGGGGTGCTGAGTCGAATGACCTTGGTCCGAGGAAGCTGAAACGCTCCCTTTCTCCTTTATTCCCAATCGAACTCGCGCACTTCCACCGAAACTGGGTGACTGCGCCCTACTAGACGGGGATTTGTATGCATAATGTCACTAAAAGTGCCATTTCGTTCATATAGAAGCACGGATGACCGCGATTGGCCCATATCCTGTAGGTGTTTGGACGCTGAGTCGACTGGTTTTGGTCCGAAACGGCTGCGATGCAGCATTTGGGCCTTATTCCCAATCGAACATGGTTGAACAAGCGGTCACGTGCTCCTGCGTACACCAGTCACCTGGTCACCATGCCTGCTGGGTACAGGTTGCAGAGTGTTTGGGTGCAGTCCTGTCGCTCGAGTTGAACTCGAGTTGAACCTTGGTGTGAAAATAGTTACTACAGCCAGATCTCGCATAACCGCACACATCCGTTTTCCACAAAAATATCCGGATAGGCGAGGGAACCGGATAATCGAACACACACACTGTGTGTGTGCATAGCATTGCAGTAAATCGGTGACCAACAATTTTCTTCCGGATGGCGAGCGATCCGGATAAACGAGGTCTGACTGTACAATACTACTAGTATTGTAGTAAGCAGTTGTCGCATGCTGGCAGCCTGGCATGGTGATCAGGTGACTGGTGTACGCAGGAGCACGTGACCACTTGTCCAACCTTGTTCGATTGGGAATAAGGCCCAAAAGCTACATCGCAGTTCCGGGCCAAAAGTAGTTGACTCAGCGTCCAAAAGACTACAACATATGGGCCAACCGCGGTCATCCGTGCTTTTACACGAACAAAATGGCACATTTAGTGATGTTTTGCATACAACTCCCCATGTAGTAGGGCGCAGTAACCCCGTTTCGGTGGAAGTGCGCGAGTTCGATTGGGAATAAAGTAGGAACGGAGCGTCTCAGCTTCCTCGGACCAAGACCATTCGACTCAGCACCCCGAAGAGATAAGTTCCCCTTTAAGCGCCAAATTCACACAAATCCACACATATTCTCTGACTCTTACAAAATGCTCTCACACATCCACATGTATATACACATATTTTACAATGTACAAGAACCATTAGTATCATTTTTATGTAATAGTCCAACACAAAAGCTTACTCGAATGGCATCTTGTCTGCAGGTAGCAGATCATGGTCAAGAACTTGGATTAGCTTCCTTCCTTTCCCTGTAATGACCACGTTCTTCAGAAGTGACTGCAATATCGGTCTGCGAATATCCTGCCACTTGTCCTTCCTGACTCGTATCCAGCGCCCTCCAGAGTACGTTGTTGCGTATGCTTCGGAAGCCTTGGGGAAACTGATGGAGCTGTGCAGCGTGCCATTATCGCGCATCCACTTTGCCCACTCCGGAAAAGTGGTGAAGTGAGGTGTGATACGCACTTTGTAACTCGGTGCTGTAGGTTTGGGTTCCTGCGCGCACCAGACCTGGTCACCAAAGTGCAACATTCATTACATAACATCAACACACAAGGCCCTTTATTGTTTCATTTGGTAACTCCCTTTTCATATTATCCATTCCTTATCCAATCCTGAGTTCCACGAGGATCAATCCCTGGCCCTCTTCTGTTTTTAACTTATATCAACCATCTACCCGGTACACCCTAGCGGCAGATGCAGCGCCTAACGGTTGGGGTGAGTGGAGAAGTCTCACAGCACAAGTGCCGAGAACGACCCCATTAGCTGCAAAATGGGTTTACCGGGTGTTAGCGGCCGTCGTGAGTTCCCTTCGGGAACGGACACGATAATATACTCTCTTTTTTTTACCATGTACCCCAGCAGGTTCCCGGCTTCAGAATGCTTGCAGATTTCCTTCCCGTCCTCCCCAACCATTACACTTTCCTTGTCATCATACCGGCATCCTTATTGTGAACCAGCACAAGCATCTTTCTGTTATGACAGACCACCAGGTCTCATGGAGCCAACAAGTCAGTTCTGTGAGAAGCCAGGAGGTGTTGGATAAATACTTTGAAGTACAAAAGACCAATACAAATCATGCGGATCAAATTCCCTCACAATTGTAAGAGCGAGAAAACCCTTTAACGTAGGAAAATCACACATACCTCCGCGAATCCAGCCACGACTTGAACATACAGGTGGTTATCTTGCGTATGCGTCACACCAGGGTGTGCAACACACTCCACAATTGGAGTGGTTGCCCCTCTGCCAAGAAACACCCTTCCATCGTCGCAGCGCTGCTTGATGCTACACCCTCTGAGGGCATTCTCGGCTTCGTGCAGCTTTCCCAGATCCAAAAAAGTAAAATGGTACGTGAACTCTGTGAAGGATTTGAAAAAAGGATAAAATTGAGTTGTTATACACAATGGCTACTGTTCCAAGGGCATGTATTACTTCTGCAGTAGTATATTTAAATATCCCGCCAGTCAATGGTTGACAACAGATCCCTAATTTGAATTTCTCACGCAATCTCATGCTTATTTACCTTCTCTTGCGGTCCTGAGTTGAGCTCGTGATGCCTGGGTTGTGTGACACTCGGCTGTGGTGAACGTCTGGTCTGCAACTGGGTTTCCAACGGCAGCATCTGCTGACAAAAGTTTCAGGAGGTCCTCCATGACGGGTGGGACGGAGTGATACTCTCAAACCAACCAGTAGCAGTGTTTCTACGGTTTTTGTTCTTTCCGTTCAGCTGGACTGAATGGATACACCCGCACATGCACTAGCCTGGTAGCAGCGCGGGAACCAGCAACGGAATTCTTTCGGAATTTCTCGAAGATCAGAAGCACGTGCAGGATCTTTTGCTTTCAAAAGGGAGAGTGCAAAGGAATAGCCACTTCTACATAATTATAAAGTTGAGTGCCTATCGGCGTCCTCTTATCCCAATATTACTACTGCACATTTGTGAGGATGGAGAACCAGACAGTAGGCCTTTGCGGACAATGCCGGCAGAAAAATTGGCAGAATTCGGTACTTTTTCTGGTAAGTTTCATGCATCTTTGGTATGTGGATAAAGAAATGGAGCGGAATTCAAGGAATTGGCCGTCATAAGGTTTGTATGGTTCTGCCAATTTCACTGCTTTTCGAGCAGAATCTGCCACCTTTTCGAGCATTATCCGCCAATGCCTAGAACCAGAGCATCCCCGTAGCGTCCACAGTTCTCCACGGAAAAAAAAATTCTCGGTTCGCTTGAGACTCGGCTAGTGGCCGAGTTTTCCCCGTCCGTAGAAACGCCACCAGCCTTCAAGGAACACGGCGCAGATGCAGCTCCTAAAGCGGTGGGAGGTGAGTAGATCAGCTCACCAGCATGTGGTCAAAGACCGAAAATCCCATTCATTGCATCCACCACGTTTTCCTCGTTCCACGAAACACAGCACCTAAAAAATCACGTGACACACTGGTCAGTGACGTTTCGCTGGCGATAGCATTGCTGCAAGCTATTGTAATGCTTGTATAGGCGTCCATGGAGCTATGAAGCAGAGACCTCTGGTCGGCTGAACTTAATTTAACTTAATGGCCCCACCACCACACTCCATTATTCACCCCAGTGCCTGGAGATAATGTGGATTTTGTAGAAACAAATGTCCATAATATGCAGGTATGGATAGATGAAGCGTAAGAAACTGATGAGCGGATTCTAGGCACTTACATATGGCATGAACAACCTAGCCCTGTGTTTATTGCTCATTATGTATGTAGCATGTACTGTAACACGTGTAGTTTCCGTGTGGTTTTCCTCACTGTTTATTTCTATTGCATGATTTGCATCAGGAGATCCCCTCGACAGGCCATCGCCTCTGGGAGATCCTATAATAAAGATTATTATAACATATCGGTATGGGGAGCGCAAACTGCACGGTTTCTATGAAGGACTAAAATTAATGATGCAATGGAGTTTGGGAATTCTGAGGAAACGACTAAATGATCACGCATAAAAAAATAATAAAAAATTTCACGGTTCCAGCCGAGTTTTCCGCATCCGTCGTGGGAACGCCACCACCCTCTAGGATCAAAGGCGCAGATGCAGCGCCTAAACGGTGGGAGGTGAGTAGATCAGACCCACCACCAAGTGGTCAAAGACGATGATCACGACGATGATCAAGATGATCACGCATACCTTAGCACAAATCCCTGCTAGCTGACCCTTACGTGAAATGTGAACCAGACAGAGTAATTGGATTACGAACATATGACTGTTAATTGCTAATTTGTTTGTGTTTTTAGCATTGAATGAAATCAGATGATGCTACTGATTTCGCATGCTCACCACCATGTCTCCCGGACAGGTTCCTACGTAGTTGGAAGCTGTGGTTCGGGGCCAAGAAAGGGCGCCAAACTCACGGCTGAATTCATGAAGAAAGGTACGAAGAAGAGAGTGGACTGCGAGGGAATTGAAGAACAGCAACCGGTGGAGCAGAAAGCTCAACATCAGGAAACACCGTCACCCGAACCATCGCGCGTCCATGCATTGCACACCGTACAAATAAAAAGAGCACGAGGTCGCAATTCAGGATCCGGGCTTCCTTTGCTTTAAGGCTTGTTGTTGTAGATTTTTACTTCTTCATCAACACTGAACACAACTTGTAGATCACCACTGTTCTGCTCTCCGATTCCTTGCGAAAGTTGGTGTGTTTCCATATACATACATGTACATGTATTCAAAATTGGCGGGCAAAAAAAACAAGCCATTCAAGCTATGCACTCTATGTCTGGTGTGACCGCTGGCCAGGGAGCACACAAGCCAGCTGAGCGCCAGCGATAACAAGCCCAAAGTGGCTTGTTTCAGTGTGACAGCGGTTTGAAGTGACTCTTGTGGCATTATTCTAAAGAAGGAACTGAATGGTACGCAAGGAATTGGCTTCAGGCCGGCATGTCATTCCACACTCTTTTTCCTGTCCCAAACAAGGTCTTACACAAAGTGATTCTTGTGACGATTGCATCATTCTAAAGGACAGCCATCCACCAGGACATCACGACAGGATATCTGTGCTCATTCAACAGATGGCTCAAAGTTTGAGAACTCTGGCAAGGTACTTTCGGGCCTGCTTTAGATCATGAGTTAGGAAACTTTATTACTCGTTGCTGTAAGGTTCGGCCTCATTTGCCCTGTGCTGAGCTGATGAGTCCACAAAGGACGAAACAGTTCTTTCTGCAGATTGAGTATTTCGCTCCTGCTCTTGTAGCAGTTGAGCACTCTCATGTGGGGTAGTGCCTTTGCTGTTTGCGTTATGCAGAGCTCACTGACTTGTCAATTTGAGCACTCTGCCAAGGTACGTTCTGGCCTGGTTTAAATTAAATCTGGCATAGTCTGGAAAATTTATTTTTAATTGTTTTCAGGTTCGGCCTCATGTTCTCCGTGCTGCACTGATGAGTTCACAAAGGACGAAACAGTTCTGTTCGCAGATTGAATCAGTCTAAAGAACGAAATCCATGGCACTCAAGGAAACGGATTCCTGTCCCAGAAAGATAGAGAGACAGACAGGCAGTCTGAAGTCATTCTTGTGATGACGATGATGACTATGACTCATACAGGAAACCCTGTCAAGACGACCACTCGGCTAAGGCGACCACCTGTCCAAGAAGACCACTGAAACTAGGATCGAGGGATGCTATTTCCAGTCAAATCACCCTGGATAAGGAGACCACCTTGTAACAGAGAGCGCATTTTGAAGGTCCCTTGAGCGGTCGTCTTAGACAGGTATCACTGTGCATGTACTTTTCTTTGAGCGTGTCCAGCAGGGATTCGTATCCAAACTAGTTTGAGTACGAATCCCTGCTGGACACCAGTGGGTGATGTCAATGGCTTCGCATTCTCGGCACTGTTTGAAATTGCACTTTTACATGTACATGTATTACCAAACCAAACCAGACCCTCGTCGAATAATGGCGCAAACCAAACCCAATGCTAGCTACATCATTCTAACAACGGATCTCAATGGTACTCACTAAAGGGCTATAGACACTCCTGTAATTCCATAATCCTTTCTTGCTTCACACTGGTGCTTTCACCGTTGGAACTGGATCAATTGTGAAAGAGTCTCTGGGCAACGTCCCTGACAGTGAGTGTTCGCATGGGAGCGAATCATGTCATGATCATTATGATGATGATACAATCATGTACCTCATACCAGTGTGGAGAGAGTTCAAGGTCCTCAGAAGATTCCAAATCAGAAATGAGTGGTAACAAGCCCCTTCGTGTGTTATACAGAATAAGGTTCTATCTGCTCTTTGGACACTGACAGGCATGCATCTCAAGCGGAGATATTCGGACCTGAACGAGGATCAAAGAACTGAATGCGGGTAAATAGCAAGAGAAGGACGACCAAGGGCACTGCAGCGAAGTCTAAGTCTCCTGGATACTAAAGAACTTTATTGAAAATTCATGATGATGTGATCGTAGAGATGATTGAAGAAAAATCCAAAGTCAACCCAGGCAATTATTAGCAGTCACTACTATCAAAGCAGATCATTATTAATTAATGTTGCAATAGCGCAACTTGAGTCTCCTGGATCTGGTGACGAAACGTCTAGCCATTCTGCAGTGGCCACCAAAAGGGCACTTGTTCAAGACTGGGGTTCAAAGGAAAAGGAACGAGCTACTGGCCTGACTCCCTTCTCCACTACTCCTCTCCCTGGCAGAGTGGTGCGTTCAAGGAGGGTTGCAAGGAATTCAGATTTTCAACCTGACATCCACCATGACGTCACCACAGGTCCTCTGTGCATGTGCACATTCAAGAAATGGCTCAAATCTATTGGAGAAAAGGTGCTGAGCAAGGCTACAGCTGACGCGTACACAATGAATGCGGCAAAGCTTCTGATGTACCTGAACCCCAAGGATGTGGATTTCAAGGAATTTCTCAACACGAACAAGGTGGGGGAGTACCTGGATAAGATGCGAAGTATCAAGGGAGCAGATCCTGCAAGAATGAAGGGGAGGTTGGATGCAGCTAAAGCGGCCCTTGATTATTTGGACAACATGGACGATTCTGATGATATCATTGCATTGTCAGTCCGTGTGAACAAGGCTACGGAACGGTACGCAACCATTTGCAAGAGATTCTCCAAAGAGCTGAGCAAGCATAATACCAAGTGGAGGAAGAGCATCATTTTAACCACCGGAACCTCTGACCTCAGATGTACAGGCAATTCTCACTGACGCAGCAGCGTTCGAGAGGGCAAACAGAATAACATAGATAGCAGGGACAGATTTCTACTTTTGGATCCACTAAGGTGTGACTTTGCTATTGCCTCAGTGTGTGGGTTCATGGCAACCCACTCATGTCGGTTGCAGGTGTGACTGTTTCTTCGCTACCAGTTGTCAACCCACCCCATACCCAGTCAATTTCACCGGTTATTATCACCTTGCTGTGAGTAAGACCGCTTGAAATGTGCTTGGATCCATACAAAAACTGGATCCAGTTTTTGAATTTTTGAAATTGTTGCTATGCTGTGACGTAGTACTTTCAAGCCCTATTCCACACGTCATGAGTTGCAAGTAATACCGTTGGAAGGCTGTTGGTTTGCGAAATGGAGATGTGTTAGAGCTGGGTCTCGGGTCTCTGAATGTCTCAGTAGCCTGTCAGTTTTGTGCCCTATTATCGCACTTTCTGACTCTTTATCATCTTGTTACAGTCGTGGATAGTTGCTGCATAACACTTTCTCATGTGTTT